TGCCAGGCAAGCGCTCTACCACTGAGCCACCTTCCCAGCCCTAGAAAAAATGTTAACCATTCAATTCTCAAAGAAGTTATACAATCAGAGAAAGACAAAATTTAGGATTAAAGAGTATACCAAACTCAATGAGAAAACACATGTTGTACCTACCCACACTAATTCTGACAAATCTGTCTTAATTTTATACTGTACCTTGACTTTATATATTTTATCTTTAGTAGTTGTACAAAGAGTTGCCATTCAGCAAAGCCATTTATGAATACGAATCTTTAAAAAAAAAAATCTGTTTTCTTAATGTGTTTTAGTATTTTAATAAAGTTCTTGCACCCATAATTTGTCATAAAAATTATCTATGTAGTGGAGAATTAACCTTACCAAAGGGTATGGCTGGCCTTTGCACTAGAATGTTCCATTTGATAAGTGACTGACAGGCAATCTAACAAGTGTCTTAAAGAGCTTTGGGTGATGGTAAGTCCCATGCCTCTATAGAAAATATAAAGTATCAGCCCTCCTGACCTCTGCTCTTTGCCCTTCCTTCCATAGCCTATTCCAAAATGGGTTTTTCCCCAATTTCAGAAATGTACCCTAACTGAGGACTTCTGAGAACGTTCCTATGAGTCAGTGAACCTAGGCGTGAAGTTGCAACTGGTATGGAAGTGAGAAGTGAGAGAGTTCCCTTGAATTTGACAGTTTGGGGACTTGCTTCCTTCAACTTCTGAAAAGTGTTTTTGTTTGATGCTGGAATCACTGAACCCAGGTACTCCACAGTGGAGCTACACACCTAGCCCCTAACAAGCTTCTTTTTTATTAAAACCTAAATCATGTTGTAGTCAATCTAGAAGGCTTTCTCTGACTAGTCCACTAAAAGAGTCTCTTAACTGGGAGCAATAGCATGCACCTTTGGTTCCAGCTACGTAGGAAACCTAGCCCAGCAACACCGTGGAAAGACCCTCAGCTCAAAAAATTAAAAAACAAAACTACCAGGCGCTGGTGGCTCTTGCCTGTAAACCTAACTACTCAGGAGAATGAGATTTGAGGATTAAGGTTCTAAGCCAGCCCATCCAGAGACTTTTATCTTCACCCACCAAAAAGAGTGAGGAGCCGTGGCTCTGGCGATGGAATGTCAGCCTTGAGCAAAAAAGCTAAGGGACAAAGAGTTAAATATAGTTCTAGTAACAAAATGTCCTCAACAGCACCAAACTGGCTTTTAGGCACATCATCTTTAAAAACTGCTATTTCTGCTACTGTTGCAGGAATTGATTACAGAAGCAAAGTTTCAGCCCTCTTTGTAAGGAAGGAGTCAAATCTACAACCAGCTTCAAAATCTAGACTGCTAATTTAAGTTAGTATAATAATAATAATAACCTTCTCAGATGATAGGCATTTCTCAGACATGAGCCTAATAAGCCAGACACAAAGCACCATTCATAGTCTTTTTCTGTCACTCAGTCCATAAGGCAAGACTACATACTCAAGTATCTTGATTTCTGCAGAGAGTTTCTGGGTTAAAAAAAATAAAAATATAGGCAATTTTGAATTAAAACAGGAACCTAATTCCAAGGGAAATACTATAGCCTTATAATGTAACTTTCTATATAGTATCAAAAAATAGATTCACAAGCCCAGGTGCCAGTGGTTTATTCTTGTAATCCTAGCTAGCGAGGAGGTTGAGATGTGAGAATGGATGCTCAAAGCCAGCCCGGCAGGAAAGTCCGTTAGACTCTTATCTCCAATTAACCACCAGAAAACCAGAAGTGGCTCTGTGGCTCAAGTGGTAGATCACTTGTCTTGAGCAGAAGAGTTCAGGGATAGTGCCTAGGCCCAGATTGAGCTCCATGACCAACCAAAAAAAAGTAAGAAAAAAAGAATCCCCAAATCATGCTATTAAAAAATGTAGTCAAGCCAGCTGCCTGGGGCTCACATCTGCAACCCTAGCTACTCAGAAGGCTGAGATTAAAGGACAGAATTTTGAATACAGCCCAGGCAGAAAAGTCTGTGAGACTCTTATCTCCAATTAAGCACCAAAAGAACCAGAAGGGTGCTGTGGATCAAGTGGTAGAGTTCTTGCCTTCAGTAAAAGAAGCTCAAGCCCCAGGACTGACACCAAAAAAAGTAATAGTCAAAAGGAATTTAAAAGTAGAAAATTTATAGGCTGGGAATGCAGCTTAGTGGTACAGTGCATGCCTAGCATGCATGAAGCCCTGGGTTCAATTCCTCAGTACCACATAGACAGAAAAAGCCAGAAGAGGTGTTTGTGGGTCAAGTGGTAGAGTGCTAGCTTTGAGCAAAAAGAAGCTCAGGAATAGCGCCCAGTCCCTTAGATCAAGCCCTGGGACTGACAAAAAAAAAAGTAGAAAATTTATATAATTAAGTTTGCCTTAGTTTTTCATTTACCTTCCTCATATCTGTCACCATTCTTGCTCTAGAAAGGTGTAGAGCTAGAATTAACAAGTTAGGACTAAAGTTACTTTACAACATTGCTACAAATCCAATATGTTGTGCTGAATATCTTCAACACAAAAATGTGCTGAGAAATAGCCCATTTCCATAACTCTAACACGTTTCTATAAGGAAACAGAGTGACATCTAAAACTATAAAATTTACCCTTACAGGTTTTGAGATGTGGTTCAGTAGAATGCTAGCTAATAAGCAAGAATCAGGTACCAAGTTTGAGTCCTGATCTCCAACCAACGTCCCCCCCCCCCCCCAAACAAAAAGCAAACAAACCAAAAAAAACCCCAAACAAAAAAAACCCAACATTTACCCTTCTTCATTTACCACTCACTGAGTGGTTACTTTTTTTTTTTTTTTTGTCGGTCTTGGGGCTTGAACTGTGGGCCTGGGTGCTGTCCCTCAGCTCTTCAGCTCAAGGTGAGGGCTCTACCACTTGAGCTACAATGCTGCTTCCAGTTTTCTGGTGGTTTACTGGAGATAGGAGTTTCAAGGTCTTTCCTGCCCCGCCTGGTTTGAACCTTGATCCTCAGATCTCAGCCTCCTGAGTAACTAGGATTACAGGCGTGAGCCACCGAGCTTGGCTGAGTGATTACTTCTTTAGGACTTTACGTGGGCAGCACCTTTGTTACAAACAACCTAGGAGATTGGCGGAACAGTCTCACAGATAAGAAAATCAGAGGTGCAGACCACATTGGCAACTCCGTTAACAGGCTGTAGAATATGATTTGAATTCAGACAGGCTATACCTACACCTATATCTTGTACAACATGGAAGTAGGGACTAAGGTCAGGCCATAGGAAGATACTATAGAAATGCTAGAAACAGCAAAATGAAGTAATACTCAGAAGAGTAGAGAAAAATACTACCCATGTCTTCATCCCTTGGCAACTCCACGGAAAAGGATAGAAGACAAAGATGATGGGTAGGTAGTGCTTTGTGGAGATCAGTGCAGATATTCTGGGGGAAAAAACTTGATGCATTGTTAGGATGTGTGAAACACACCTGTACAAAGTCCTAGGAAATGGCTGATGGATTTTTTTAATAGCTGAACAGGGTGAGACTTGTGTGCTTATTTTAAAGTAGTATTGTAATATTCTTCTGTAAGAATGTTTTTTTAACATTATTGGAAAGTCAGAAGGAAAAGCTGATTCAATTACCACTTGGTTATTAACTTCAATTGTTCATCTGAAAGCTGGAGTCAGGAACTGACTTAGCTAATTCAAAACTGGACTTTTCATGTGACATGAGCTTGGGAGATATTTAAGGGGTAAATGTTAAGGCTTTTGAAATTTATAGATTAGATGACAGTCAAAGTTACAAGAAAGTTTGCTTTAGAAAGGTAAACATTTTACTGGCAGTTCTATTTACAGATATGAACTGTTAAGTAGTTATTTATAATATATAAAGACCCTGATCGACACTCCATTTATGAAAGCCACAATTCCAGTTATTACTCATTCATCCTAAGAAAGCTGAATAATTTTAAGACGGCTTAACAAAATCTTTCCTTCTTCAGTGCATTTCTGGGGCAAATCTGACTTCCAAACATTACGATTAAGGAAATTTTATAGAACATGACTTGAAATAAATACCCTCTTCTTCGTAGACTCCAGTGAGCCTTTTAAACGTAAATATAGTGCTCGCTTCGGCAGCACATATATTAAACGTAATTATAAAGACATTTTTAACATATAATTTAAGAAATGAATGAGCCGGGCTCCAGTGGCTCACGTCTGTAATCCTAGCAACTCGGGAGGCTGAGATCCGAGGGTTGTGGTTCAAAGCTAGTAGGAGCAGGAAAAGTCCAGGAGATTCTTTTATCTTCAATTAACCACCTGAAAATTGGAAGTGGAGTTGTGGCTCAAAGTGGTCGGGAGAACGAGAAAAACTCCAGACTTGAAGATTGCGAGAACGAAGTTATACTGAAATCTGAACGCTAAGATCACACCTTGAAGAACGATGTACCCAGTCACCATCTTATTACTCTCTGGAAAACGAAAGACCTCACATATAGTAAGAATGGAAATCTTCTCGGAAAAGTGCTATTCTGTATGAAAAAGAATAATAAACTGCATTTATAACTTCAAGCACAGTTTCTAGACTGGCCAGTGTTTCTGAAAATCAACACTCCTTCCGAAAGCCACTCCACACCAAGACCAATCACCACTGGCTTCCCCCTAACTCAACCTCTATTTACAAAACAAAAACAAACACACACACCCCAGCCTGCCATCACGCCCACTTTTCGACAACTCTCTGACTCGGGGATCTCGGAAGGCCCCATCCACCAGACAGCAGTCCGCCCTCAACAAATGAAGTTAACGACTTTGAGGTTCGCCCGCCCGAGGCCCGAAGGTGCGGGCCCGGGAGAACCAGCGTGAGCGTGGCGGCCCGGGCTTTGCTCACCGCCCGCGTCCGCTCCTGGGCCGGTTCGCCGGGTCACCCGAGCCCGCGGTCCCGCGGGGGCCGCTAGGCCGGGAGGAGCAGGGGTGTCGCCGCGGCCCGCCCCGCGCTCCCGCACCCTCCCGGCCCGCTGCTCACCTTCTCGCACAGCGTCCGCACTTGGTTCTCGTTCAGCTGCTTACACTCGTTCAGCTGCTCGACCCACTGGTCCAGCTCCTTGGTGAACGTCTTGTCGTCCATGGCGGCGCGCTCCCCGGCCCCGCCGCCTCCCGCCCCCCTCCCCGCCCGCCCTGGCCCCCGCCCCCGCGGCCGCTCGCCTCCCCAGCCGCCAGCGCCAGCTCCCGGCCGGAGACCGCCGAGCCCCGGAGCGCGGCAGCGAGCCCCGCGCCCCGCTCAAGCCCAGCGGGCGGTTCCGGGAGCGCGGTCTCCCGGAGAGCTCGCCCCGCCGGGCTGTGCGCGCCGGGGGTCGGTGAGGGCGCCGGGCAGTGCGGAAGCACCGAGCGACTCTTCAGCAGGGCTCTCGCCCGACGACGAGCGCCCAACCACCACCGCCACGGCCCGCCCGCCCCCTCCGCGAGGCCCTCGCCGCTGCGCTCTCGCTGCTCCTCGTCCCTCCCTCCGGGTTTCCGTCATCGCCCCGGCATTTCCGCCTGGAAAAGGGGTTCGGGCGGCACTGCCGGGGAGGGGCCTTCACGGAGCACAACAGCGCCCTCGTGTGGCTCGGCGGAGAAACGATCCGATGGGCGCCTTCTCCCTGGCGGCCTTTGCGCCTTTTTTCATGGCTCTGGACAAGGAATCAGGAAACTGGCATTTTCCTTCACAGAATCTCACCAGCCTAGCAGGCACTGGTATTTTACTTTCTCTTTTGTCTCAGACCAGGACTCGAACTGAGGATCTGACACTTCCGCTTATTGGCTGGCGCTCACCACCTGAGCCACAACCCAACCCCAGATTTTTGTTTAGTTTTAGCACTGCCTGTAGGCCACAGGCCACAAAGTGGTTATTAATAATCTGTGCTCAATTCCATATCTAGCTTTTAAGGTCTTTTGTCAACGACAGTACTGGGACTTGAACTCTATTCCTTAGTTTGTTCACAGCTAGTACTCACTTCCACTTCAGCCAGGCCTCCAGTCTAGCTATTTCTTTTTTGAGACAAGGTCTCAATGTAAGCTTAGGCTGTTCTGGAACGCATGATCTTGGTGTTCTCCAGTGGATAGGTATATCATCAACGCCCTCCTTTCAGCATTCTTGACCATAATTTAATGGTTAACTGCATTGAGAAGTGATTTCTTCATTATTAATGTATGTATACACACGTTCATGCACACACATATATACTGGGGGTTTGAACTCAGGGCCTTGTGCTTGCTATGTAGGTCCCTACCACTTGAGCCAACAAGTATTTATGGGGCTTCCCAAGAAATACTTATGGAGTAGAACATATACGAAATATCCATATTTTCTCTGTGAGCTGAAGAAATATCAGAAGATGTTTCCTGCGGCTGAGGCTGTATCAGAGGAAAAAGGGTTTTTGGGTTGGGCTTTGCCAACTTTCCAGCTTTGACATTAGGCAATCACTCAAGCCTCAACATTAGATTTCTCATCAGTGAAAACCTCTGCAGATTGTGAAGATTAAGTTTGAAAAGTTCATGTTAGCACAGGTGGTAACATGATAGTTGCTTTATCTTTCACAGAGAACAATTACAGAGAGCTTTAGAAGAGTAGTAATCTGGGCTAAATTCTGAACCTTCCAAGCAAAAACAAACAAACAAAAAAAAAACCCAAAAACCCTTGAAATTGCCTTGAGAAGGGGAAAGAAGTTGGAAGGAATTAGTGATTATGTAAAAGACATTGTTAGTCTTTCCAGACTAACAAACACTAACAAGAGGAATCAGGCTTACTGCAAGGAACAGGAGAGAAGAACTGCTTCCAAGCATTTTGAAAATAGCAAACCAAGTGAGTCAAATATGACAAAGTGGGGCTGGGAAGGTGGCTCAGTGGTAGAACACTTGCCTTGCATGCCTGAGGCCCTGGGTTTGATTCCTCAGCACCACATAAGCAGAAAGAAAAAAAGCCAGAAGTGGTGCTGTGGCTCAAGTGGTAGAGTGCTAACCGTGGGCTGAAGAGCTGAGGGACAGTGGCCAGGCCCAGATTTCAGGCCCCATGACCGGACCCCCCCATCCCCCCAGCCAAAAAATATGACAAAGTGACACCACCAGAGGAGCAGGAGTACCTGTAAAAATGCAAAGCTGTTGAGCTTTCTCCAGATGTTAGACTACAGAGGTATAAAGGAGGCTTAATTTTGTCTAAGGCTGAAGCTCAGAGTGAGAATATTTTTCCAGTTGCTAGAGAAAACAGACAGAGTAGGAAAAAAAAGTTCTGAAACGAAGAATGTTATAAGATGGACTGGGAATGTGGCTTAGTGGTAGAGTGCTTGCCTAGCATGCATGAAGCCCTGGGTTCAATTACTCAGTACCACATAAACAGAAAAAGCCCGAAGTGGTGCTGTGCGTCAAGTGGTAGAGTGCTAGCCCTGAGCAAAAAGCAGCTCAGGGACAGTGCTCAGGCCCTGAGTTCAAGCCTCAGGACTGGCAAAAAACGTTAGAAGATGTGGTTAGGGCTAGGGCATGTAGTTAAGTTTGAAAACAATGCTTCTGTGTTGGGCAACTGTGACTCAAGCTTGTAATCCTAGCTACTCAGAAACCGAGACCAGAGGATCACAGGTCGATACTAGCCTAAGAGAACAAATCCAGGAAACTATCTCCAACCAACCAATAAAAGCTGTGTTGGAGGTGTGGTTCAAGTGGAAGAGGGCCAGAAGTAAGCAAGAAAGCTGAGCAAGAGCACAAGGTAAAGCTCCAGGGTGAAGACACACTCAATGTGTTAATGTATCTGACATGGGATTAATACGCAGAACATGAAACTCAAAAAACGTAGCAAAAACTAACAAGTAATCAAATTAAAAATGGGCAAATAATCTGAATAGCCCATCTCTCAAAACAAAAATAATTCAAAAAGCCAATAAATGAGCCGGGCACCGGTGGCTCATGCCTGTAATCCTAGCTACTCAGGAGGCTGAGATCTGAGGATCACAGTTCAAAGCCAGCCTGGGCAGAAAAGTCCGTGAGACTCTTATCTCCAATAAACCACTAGAAAACCAGAAGTGGCGCTGAGGCTCAAGGAGTAGAGTGCTCGCCTTGAGCTGGAGAGCGCAGGGATAGCGCCTAAGCCCAGAGTTCAAGCCCCACGACCGACCCAAAAACAAAAAAAAACCCAACAAATGTGTGAGGAAATAAAGCTATCATGAGTCATCATGGAAAGTTGCAAAGCAAAACACCATTTTGCCATAGTTAGAACAGCTGTTTCCAAAAGAATATCATCAAAAGAAAAAAATTCTGGTAAGGATGTGGAGAAAGAGAAATCCCTATGCACTGTTAGTGAGAGTGAAGATTAATCAATAATTACAGAGAATAGTCTGGAAGTTTCTTGGAAAGCCAAAAGTAGATCTATGATATGATAGCTATTGATTTCTGGGTGTATATCTAAAGGGAATAAAATCAGCAGATCGCTCTTACGTCCATGGTTCATTGCTTCATGTGTCCTAGAACTAAGATATAAAATCAGCTTAGGAATCCATCAACAGATAAGGAAAACCTGGCATATGCCAAGTGCTGGTGGTTTACATCTGTATTCCTAACTACTGAGGAAGCTGAGACCTAGGGAGCATGGTTCTAAGCTAGCCTAGGCAGAAATATCCAAGGGACTCCATCTCCAATTAACTAAAAAAAAAAAAAAAATGGGTTGAGGAGTGGCTCAAGTGATGAATCCAGGCCATGAGCAGAAGAAACAGACGGAGTCCAACCCACAGTTTCAGCAACTACCCTCATCCCCTACCCTCTGCCCCCGCCCCGCACACACGTATACACACGCATGCAAAGAGGAACAGGTATATCATAGAGTATTTCTCATTTATAGGAGTATAAAATTCTCCCATTGATAGCAAAATCCATGGAACTGGAGGGTGTTAAGCCAGACACAAGTATTATATGTTCTTATGAAGAAAATTAAAAAGTTGGTCTGAATGTAAAATAGTGAACGATTACTAGAAGTTGGTAAGGAAGGGTTAAGGAGGATGGATACAGGCTCCCACCTGTATTCCTAGCTACTCAGGAGGCTGAGATCTGAGGATCATGGTTCAAAGCCAGCCTGGGCAGGAAAAGTCCTTGAGAGTCTTCAGCTCAAGGCTAGCACTCTTACCACTGGAGCCACAGCAGCACTTCTGGTCTTCTGGAGATAAAAGAGATAAGAGCTCAGGGACTGCACCCAGGCCCATATTCAAGCCCTGGGACCGACCAAAAAAAAAAAAGGCTGGAATTCATACTGTATATATATGTATTTGTATGTGTGCAATGAAATATACAGAACTCGACTTTATTTGTGAAAGTAATACAAATAAAAAGTTAAAAAAAAGAATACCAGGGGCTGAGAAGGTGGCTCAGTGGAAGCGTGCTTGCCTTGCATGCATGAGGCCCTGGGTTCGATTCCTCAGCATCACATAAGCAGAAAAAGCCAGAAGTGGCGATGTGGCTCAAGTGGTAGAGCACAAGCCTTGAGCTGAAGGACAGTGCCCAGGCCCAGAGTTCAGGCCCCATGATTGATTAGAAAAACAAAAAACAAAAAAAATTCTATTGGAGGAAGGGATAACATGATGGCTTCCCTACTTGTAAGTTTTACAGCTTCTGCAGTCTGGCAGTAGCAGGGAAAGTCAAATGATGGTAGACAGGACAAAGATTTGAGTGCAATATCAGGTGTTGCATCTTTAAAAAAAACCCGTAATTTAGGCTGGGAAGGTGGCTCAGTGGTAGAGCGCTTGCCTTGCATGCATGAGGCCCTGGGTTCGATTCCTCAGGACCACATAAACAAAAAAGAAAAAAAACGGGAAGTGGCGCTGTGGCTCAAGTGGTAGAGCACTAGCCTTGAGCTGAAGAGCTGAAGTACAGGGCCCAGGCCTAGAGTTGAGGCCCCACGACTGGACCAAAAACAAAACAAAACAAAAAAACAAAAAAAAACCCTGTAATTCTTAAAATTGCTTTCCTCTTTGCTTCTGATGTGTGTGTGTGTGTGTGTGTGTGTGTGTGTGTGTGTGTGTGTGTGTCTTCTGTGGAAAATACCCATCAGTCTCCAGTGCTAATTATCATGTAAAACTATCATATGTCACTTCTAGATTTACCAGAAATATTCTTAATTTTATTCTGTTTGCCTGACTTTTGGTCAAAGAATTCTTTTCTTTTACAGAAGAAAAGGTAGGAGGATATGTGTTTGAGTTCTGACCAGGCAAAGTTAGCAAGACTAGTTCAAAACTAAGACACAAACCAAAAGTGTTAGTAGGCAGAATGACACAGTGGTAGAGGAGCTCAAGTCTCCAAGTTCAGTCCTCAATACCGAGAATAAAAAAAGCCACAAAACAAAACATGGTACATTTTGTTCCTTCACATTTTTTTTTTTTGTGCTGGTCCTGGGGCTTGAACGAACGCAGAGCCTGGGTACTGTCTCTGAGCTGCTTTTGCTTAAGATTAGAGCTCTACCACTTGAGCAACAGCTCTGCTTCCAGCTATTTTGGTAGTTTCATTGGTGGTAAGAGTCTCACAAACTTTCCTGCCCAGATTTGCTTCAAACGGTGATCCTCAGATCTCAGCCTCCTCAGTAGCTAGAATTACAGGCTTAAGCCAATTAAAAAGGCTCTAATGATACTAAGAGATCAGAGACTCATGAAAAGACATTAAATGTAATGATTTTTACCAGATATGAGTTAAAAACAAACAAAAAACAAGGCTGGGCACTAGAGGCTCATGCATATAAGTACTTGAGACACAGAGATTGGGAGAATTTTCATTTTTTTGCCAGGCAAAAAGTTCACAAGATTTCCATCTTGATCAGAAGCTGGGTATGACCTGGGTGCTAAGTGGCTCTTGCCTATAATCCTATATACTCTCAGGAGATCTGAGGATCAAGGTTTGAAGTCAATGTGGTCAGGAAAGTCCAGGAGACTTTTTCTTTTTCCTCTCTGTGCCAGTAGGTCACAAGTAGAGGCCAGGCAATGGTTCAGGGCTACAGTTTGCTCTGGCATGGGACACTAGGAAAAGCCCAGGGGGCAGGCCTGCCATAAATCCAACCCATGCATCACTCAGAAAAAGCTGTAAGTGGCACTGTGGCTCAAGTGGTAGAATTCTAGCCTTGAGTACAAAGAGGCTCAGGGATAGTGCCCCAGCCCTGAGTTCAAGCCCCAGGATTGGCGAAAGAAAAAAACAAAAGCTGGTCAGGGCCACATGATTCATCCTAGCTAAAAAAAGAAATGTAAATAGGAAGATCCCAAGTCAGGTTAGCCCTGAGCAAAAATACCAGAACAAAAAGGGGTGGAGGTAATGTGCTTAACAAGTGCTTAGCTCAATACTGTCAAAGTTCAAATTCCTGCATCACCGAAAACCAAAACCAAAACTATGCTTAAAATACTTTTATACCGATATTAAATCTCACCTGTATAAAATACTGTTTTAGAAGGCTTTTCTCATTGGAAAAATGGTTTCAGAGCCTTCTATTTGTTGAGATTCATTGGTATTTCCTCAAAGAAGCTTTCCCCAAACAAGTCATTTTTCTACTTCATTACTTGGTTCTTGGTCTCTGTTTTTTCCCCCAACATTATCACTTCTGATGTGAAATTTACTTCCATGTCTTTCTGGACTGGAACTAGATCTCATGAGGTCTTTGGCTTGCCTTAGGCAAGTCATAAAGTTTGTAGGTGTGAGGGAAAGGAAGAAGGGGAAGGTAAGGAATTGGAGAAAGGGGTCCTCTGACATTTATCTAAAGAAGACAGTTCCATTGTGGGTTTTTACATAATGAGTATATGCAAACAAAAGATTTTTTAAGAAACAAAAAAATTGGAGAAAATTTAGTTTATTCAAATAATTCTTCAAGTTCCAAAACAGAATTTACAAACAAGCAGGTTTTTTGCTTATACTGTTTGATCAATTTTGATTTGTTCTACTTGTATTTTTAGAAAACATGTCGTTGAGGGAAAAACAGGAATACACTCTAGTTTTTCATAATTTGTCAAAGAGCAGATTTTTAATGCAACTGATATTTAAGATAACAAATTTTTGAAGAAATTAAAACCCGTGAAATACAAATATCACAAAGGCATTATCAATAGAATATAAAAGTTGTTAAAGAGTATCTGAGTGTGTAACTTTTCGCTTACCACATTTTAAATAAATAACTGTGATCTTTCCATAACCAAAAAAACTAAATGGCTGAGACAAAGTCACTTCTTGAATAACAGATAACATGACCACTTTCGTCCATGGTTCAGGAGTTCTGGCTTTGACAGATTATTTTCAAATACAACAACTGAAAAATTACATTATTTTAAGGCTGCCATAATTCTGTCATCTTTCCAAATTTCCCACTTCTTTCAGTTACTGTTTTGCTTTTATTTTCTCATTACAAAGTTCTGCATATGTTGGCAAATTTAAGTTTTTTTGAATTCCATGCTATTTGGCTAATGTGACTGAAGAGACAACCTGTTGATTCTCAAGAGTCTTTCTGAGTTGAAAATGAGTCTGTAGTAAACAATAATCTTGATTATTTTCATTATACTCTCTTTGAAGAGACCTGTGCCAGATAATATAAAGCATTTCTTCTTAATGCATTCCTCCAACAAGAAGTTGGAGGGAAAAACATTGCAAACTTTTGCTAACTGGTTAGATTTAGCCAAAGTAAAATTCTTATGATTTTTATGGGGTAGCTATCATTTACTCAGTTATGAAGGCTTTTTCTGAGATTTTAAAAGAGGAATGATTCTTGAACAAAGTTCTGTATGGACAAGGCAGGGCTCAACACTAGTTACAGCCTATATCTTGTTGTCTGGTAAATAGTATTACTAAAGCGTTTTTGCAGAATGTTGAAAATGAATAAAAACTAAAACCAGAACATTAAAAACTTGTTATTTATGCAACACTATTATGGCTAAGTGTGTATAAATATATTCCCTATTTATGTGCTAAAAGAACCATTCAAATTGTGAAATACAAATACAAAAGATCTTGTGGAGAGGGCTCTTGTGGAGACATAAAAAGTACTTCAATTTCAATATTAATCAACTAAAATTGCTTCCTATGTAAAGGTTCAAAATATCTCTACCTCAGGAGACACTGAGAATATGCAACCAAATTTTTTTTCTGAGTAAAAATAAGATACTGAAATTAAAAGAGCTAACCATATACAGAATTGTAAATTGTCAAGAATGATCAAATTATTACTTTGAAACTAATCTGAGAATTCCTAATTTTCATCTCAAAAAAGTCACATAATAAACAATGTTTTAAAAAATAAAAACTCTGCTTTGAAGACTTTTACCACTGACATTTAACCTTAATAATATTGAATGATGCTGAGTTAACTTCCTTTATAGTTGCCGATATAATTTTGTTTTTTTCAGATGTTAGGAATTAAAATTCCCCATTATCTTATGTGAACATTATTGCACTTTATACAAAGGGCTGTATGACTTATATACAATATTTGCATATATTTAAAAACATCAAATTAAAAAATATATAGGTAAAAATACTTGGAAAAATGCGTTCAATATCCTTTACTTCAATGTCCTGGCTGAAAGGATTTCTCTTGCCATGAATCTAGAAAAAAAAAAAAGCCATAAAGATCTAAGTTAATAATTTGTACTAGTTATGTATAATAGTATACTGGAAAGAACCTGAGATTTAGAGCCAAATATATCAGAATTCGAATTAATTTGCTGTTTACTAGCCAACAGGATCCTGCATTAATTAAGGCTCTCCAAGGATTAAGTAGCCTCATGTGTAAAAGTACAGTATCTCTATTACAGGTATCCTGGGAGAATTCAATGTAATAAAGGACATTAATGTTCTTGCCACACATGGCTCTATTAAGCACTTTCTTTTAGTTCCATTTTCAGTTGAATACAACAGTGTTGAATACAGTGTTGAGAAAACAGTGATAAATGGATCAATGGGACTTTGATCTCTTTTGGGGATGCAGGTACTATGTGAGAGATGATTTTTTTTTTCTGGTCTTAGGGCTTGAACTCAGGGCCTGGGCACTGTCCCTGAGCTTCTTTTGCTCAAGGTTAGCACTCTACCATTTGAGCCACAGTGCCACTTCTGGCCTTTTCTGTTTCTATGGTACTGAGGAATTGAACCCAGGGCTTCATGCATGCTAGGCAAGCACTCTACCACTAAGGCCACATTCCCAGCCACGTGGAATTCTTTACTTACACAAGTTTATATGATGCAGTTTTAAAAACTGTCATTAAAAATGTTTAAAAAGCTGGGCACTGGTAGCTCAGGAAGCTGAGATCTAAGAATAGTTGTTTGAAGCCAGCCTGGCCAGAAAAAACTGAGACTCTCATCTCCAATAATCCACTTTAAAAAAAGCTAGAAGAGAAGCTGTGGATCAAATTGTAGAGTGCTAGCCTTCAGCAAAAGAACCTCAAGCACAGAGTTCAAACCCTGGGACCAACATACATATACAAAAATGTTTACAAATCCTTTAGTGGTTGCATAACTGTATGGATTTAGCTGTAATTATTTAATTATTTCCTAAAGTTGGGTTTTATTAAAGGATATATTAGCAAAGACATATTACCAGTTTTTATTTTCTTAATAATCTTTTGATGGCCAGATTTCCAACAACACAAACTCTGCTGAAATATGAGCAATTCTGTAATTCTACACAGAATATTAAATTTACAACTAAAATTAATCTATAGAAACAGATGAAGTTAAAAGTAAAAGCTCATCAAAACAAACATTAAAACTCACTGTACGTCCAAGGAACTTCTGGAAGTGCACCTGCATTAGGAGGACATCGGTACGCAGCTTGTGGTAATGGTTGATAAGAAGCATATTGTGAAAAAGCAGGTTGTTGAAAATTGTAAGAAATAGGCATCTGAGGTCGAAAGTATCCATTTTCTAATACAAATGCATTTGCTTGTGGCTGCTCAGCAAAGTAACTAAAATACTGGGAGTACTGAAGACTAGAATGTGTGTTTTGAACAGTATTTGTAATTGTAGTAAAAATTCCAGGTGGTGGTGGCTGTACTTCATATGATGTTACTCCTTGGTATGTGTGGGTAATGGCACTGCCATTGCTGCTGCTGTATTGATAAACATAACAAGCATAGTACGGATATGAAGTCCCAAATGAGTACTCAGAAGAATTATATATTGAGGTGCATTCAGATTGTGCACGTTCGTTCCAGGATGTGTCAGCTGTCTGATCCAGAGTTTTAGGATGCTCTTCATCTTGTCGTTCAGAAAAAGAGTATTCTGCTGTGTGACTAACATCAAGAATTGAGCTCCTAGATGCTCCAAAAGGTACTGTACTAGGATTCAATCTATCCTTCATATGCTGAGACTCAGTTGTTACAGGCTGTGTTTTCTTTACTTGTAGAACAGGAATTTTGTTCTGAATATAGATGGGTTCTGGAGACGTGGTACTTGTACAATCTTTAATAGATAAATTTATTATCTTATTGTCTTGATGTTCAAGGATTGTATCATTCAAATCCAGATTGGTATAGATATCCCTGGCAGAATGGAGAGAAGCCTCAGAAACCACTGATGAATTTAAGTTTTCCTGTTGTCCAGCGAGGTATTCTGAAACATCAGATGAACTATCTGTCAAATCTATTTTGCTTTCTGACTTTGATGTACCATTCTCTTGTAGATTCTTTAAAGGTAAAAGTGAGCCAGATACTGATTTTTTCAGTTCATCTTTTTTTGAAGATACATAGTTTCTTTTCAAACTTGATCCTGGTTCATTTTCACTCTTGGACTGAAAATTTGTAATCCTATAAATTTAACACATACATACAAACATTTTTAAATATACAGTTGAAATATGTATTTGATATTTTTGTTTTCAGGAGAAGGGTTAAGATTGACATTTTCCCAAATTATTAGGAGTATACAAGTAATACTGTCCTGGTTTTATTCAACTGGCCTTGGAAATATCAATTTGCCATATTAAAACACCCTCTTTTTTTTTTTTCTATTGGTCGTGGGGCTTAAACTCTGGGCCTAGGCACTGTCCCTCAGCTCTTCAGCTCAAGGCCAGGGCTCTACCACTTGAGCCACAGCGCCACTTTCAGTTTTTCTAGTGGTTTATTGGAGATAAGAGTCTTATGGACTTTCCTGCCCAGGCTTGCTTTGAACTGCAATCCTCAGATCTCAGCCTCCTGAGCAGCTAGGATTACAGGCATGAGCCACAGGCACCCGGCTTAATACATCCTCTTATGAAAATAGTATACTTATAGTATGTGTACATTTGTATGTACATTAATTTTATTAATGGTGCCCTGCTTTAGTTGGCAATTTGTACTTCTATAACCCATTTTGAAATCTTGCTAGTGTGTAAAACCCACAAGTTAAAAAAAAAGCACTTGTCCTTTATGTTTCTTTTACAATACTATTCATTTGTTAATGCCAAAAATGCACTGAAAATCTGAAACAAACTTTATTTCTTCTTTTCACATCCCATGCCCTCTAAGTTATATGGTTGATCCAGCAGTTACATGAATAATTACTCTTGTCCCTTACTACTTGACCAAATTTGTTTAGTTTTAATTCAGAGATGGCTGATAATTCTTACCTTGGAGAACTAGATGCTGCTATTTTTCTGCTGATTTTTGTTACATCATTCATGCTAACCTATGTTTAAAAGACACAAAGAAAATCTATATTACTTATGAGAAACTATACAAGTCCCCTCCATTTTCCTAAAAAGTGACTCTTTGCTTTCCATATTTCACATTTTTGCAATAATTTAATTTTTTTTAAGAAATTTACAGTATTCTGAACTCTATTATAAAACTAATCTTGGGGCTGGGAAGGTGGCTCAGTGGTAAAGCGCTTGTGCTTGCCTTGCATGCATGAGGCCCTGGGTTCGATTCCTCAGCACCACATAAGCAAAAAGAAAAAAGTTGGAAGTAGCACTGTGGCTCAAGTGGTAGAGCTCTAGCCTTGAGCTGAAGAGCTGAGGGACAGCACCCAAGACCAGAGTTCAGGCCCCACGATCGGACCCCCTCCCCCCCCAAAAAATAAATAAAATATAAAACTAATCTTGGAGTTTTTTTTTTCTTTTTGTCAGACATGGGGGTTGGACTCTGGGCCTGGGTGCTGTCCCTGAGCTCTTTAACTCAAGGCCAGTGCTCTTGAGCCACAGCACCACTTCTGGTTTTCTGGCCGTTTGCCACTTATTAGAGATAAGAGTTTCATGGACTTTCTTTCCTGCCTGGGCTGGCTTTAAACCATGATCCTCAGATCTCAGCCTCCTTAGTAGCTGGGATTACAGGTGTGGGCCACTGGCACCCGGCTAATCTTGGAGTTCTTATGATGCTCTCTTGTTAGTACACAGTAACTGAGTCCATCAATTCTTTAAGTAATTCTGTCAAACACAAGTTGAACATCTCTAATTCAAAAACCTCAATTCCAAAACCTTTTGATCCTGAATATGATACTGGAAGTGAAAACTATCAAATAATGAAGGTTTCTGTTCAATGAGTAAAATTTAAAATATTGAAAAAAATGTACCTTTAGACTATAAAGTATATGAAGTATACATGAATTTTGTGTTTGGTTACTTTGGTTCCATTCCCATGATATCTCAATCTCATTACATATATACAAACATTCCCAAATAGGAAAATAATGAAATAATTTTTGTGCTAATAAGTTTGGATTATAAATGATCAACTGCACTGAGTTTCCATTTTATTCTATAAAATTGTACCCTCCCTTTTAACTCCTTTCTTATTCTATAAAATAGCACCTATCTAATCGGTGGCAGACATCACTTGTAATTATATTCAGAATCTTTTCACCTTTTGTATTTCTTCCTCTTCTTTTTGTCAGTTATGGGGCTTAAGCTCAGGGCCTGGACCCTGTCCCTAATCTTTTCTGCACAGCTCTACTTATAGTTTTCTGATGGTTTACTGGAGATTAATAAGAGTCTCATGGACTTTCTTGCCTGGGCTGGCTTTGAACTGTTATCCTCAGATCTCAGCCTCCTGAGTAGCTAGGATTACAGGTGTCAGCCTATAATACTAGCCCTTTTTATCTTTTATAACATTGGAAAAAAAACATATTTCAGATGACCTTGTATTTCAATATGTAAAGAACAAAGCTCAAACAGTTTAGGCCTATATTTAATACATACATGCTGTACTGAAATATATATCCTTTGTAAATGATATTTTTAAAAAAACCCAACAATTGTGTGCAGTCAAGGTTTCATATTCAATTTCTAGCACCCTCCCCCTGATACTCAAGAAGGTTGTTCTATCTGAAATGTAATTTTTCAGTGATTTAAAAGATAAAAAGATTCTCAGTATAGTTTAGCAGGACTGCTAGTTTTCAGTCCTGTTATCTCCTTGATCACTGAAAAAAATTAGCTGGGGATATAGTGAGGTAGTGTGCCTGCTTAACATTTGTGAGTCCCAGGTTTGATCCTGAACATCGTACAATAAATAACGTTCAGTACTCGTTAACTTTAAATAATAGTGCAGATACTTTAAGGTTTTGATAAAGAATGAGGTAAAATATGTGTATGCTATGTAAATTTTTTTTTTTTTTGTCGGTCAAGGGCTTGAACTCTGGGCCTGGGCACTGTCCCTGAGCTCTTCAGCTCAAGACTAGCACTTACCACTTGAACCACAGCACCACTTCTGGTTTTCTGGTGGTTAATTGGAAATAAGAATCTCATGGACTTTATGGCTTTGAACTGCAATCCTCAGATCTCAGTCCCCTGAGTAGCTAGGATTACAGGTCTGATCTACCACTGCCCAGCTAAATTTGTTAAAATTTATACAAGACTTTTACTAACTTCTTGTAAGTCATCTAATTAAAAAAAAATCTGCTGTTTTACTATTTGGATAATGGTCAACTACACAGACTTTTGCCACTTTTTAATGTTTAATAAATTGGGCATAGACTTGTTATACACAGCTACTCATTAAGTATCCAATCATTTCCAGGAATCACATTCATACTATTTCCTAGAAGGTTATTAAAATTAATTTCTCCAGTTTTTACATTAAAATTTACATTTAGAAAATAGACTTTTCAGGGTATCTGATTTATATCATTTCTGCTTAAGTAGGAATTATTTAATATAATACTTTAGTTAGCAAAGTAAGTTAGCAAGCCAACATGTAAAATATTCTCAACATCTATATTCCATAAATTGTCTGTGAGAGTAAACTTATTCTCAAATATAAGCCAGCAGTGGTGGCTTATGCCTACTCAGAGGTAGACATCTATCGATGTTCAAAGCCAGCTTGGGAAAAAAAATTCTCAAAAAATTCTCAACCAGTAGGAAGCTGGACATGATTTTTTTTTTTTTTGGGGGGGGGGGGGGGGGTCCGGTCGTGAGGCCTGAAACTCTGGGCCTGGGTGCTGTCCCTCAGCTCTTCAGCTCAAGGCTAGCGCTCTAGCACTTGAGCCACAGCGCCACTTCCGGCTTTTTTCTTTTTGCTTATGTGGTGCTGAGGAATCGAACCCAGGGCCTCATGCATGCAAGGCAAGCGCTCTACCACTAAGCCACCTTCCCAGCACCTGGAAATGATTTTTACATGCTTATATTCCCAGCTACATGGGATACTAAAGAGGAGGATCATGATTCAGGCTGACTCAGCATGAATGAAGATTAGGAGCATGGCTCAAGTGGGAGAGGTCTGTCTAATAACTGTAAAGCCAATGAGTTCAAACCTTAGTACCTTCAAAAATAACAAAAACCAAGAAAACACTGGATTTCACCTGAAAATATTCATACCTTTTGCTTTTTACAACTGGAAACTTTAGTAGCAGTCTCATTTTCCTGAGAGTCTTCACATTTATCTATAGCGATAGGTCGTTTCTTAGTGGGATGTGACATGCTTTTCATTAGACACTCTGAAATTGAGGGGGTTTTTAAAGAAGTACTGGGTTTGATATTTTCCTCACGTTTTGTAATATCAACATTTATCTTTTCTTTTCTCTTTAGTTGGGATGTATCCTTTCTGTTATGTAGTATTTGGTGAAGAATAAATGAAGTGGTTAATTTAGCATCTTTAGCACATATAATCTTCATATATTCAATTGTTTTCATGACTTTTGTAATATGAGCTACTTTTCCTAAATCTTTTTGAGGGACAGACATTGTACTTTTGAGTAACATAGAAAACTGACTGTAGTTATGTTCTAACTCTGTCACAGTGTTTCCATAATTTATGGATGCTATACATGGCACAAAGTCAATATATGTGGAAATGGAATACTTAGATGTTACCACAAGCTTTTTAATTTCTGAAAGCTCATTAAGTTCTCTTGAGAACAAGTGAAGAGCATATGAACAATTAACAGCTCCATTATATTTATAGATAATATCCAGGTCTTCCATAACTCCAGAAATAGCAGTCTCTATCACTTTCCAAAGGCAACCTGTTGCACCTTCATTAAGAAATGAGAATGAAGCCATCTTTTCTTGGCAGTGAATCAGCTCAGGAAGAAGTGACAGATCAAACCAAAGCATACCTCGAAATCTCTGGTTATTTAATTTCTTTGCCATTGAGTTTTTAAGAAAGTGAACTGTTTCCGAGAGCATGACAATTTCAATATATGTTTCAATGGCTGCAGGTTTTAAAATTATTGCCCCCTTGTTGTCATTTCTCAGCACATCCAAAATATTTTCTTCTGTGATAAAAATATTATCTATGTTATCTTCTTGCAGTATCTGGAAGTATTTTTTTAAAATTTCTAAGTGATCTGTACATCTCAAAGTGAGTTCTTGTAATTTCTTTACGTCTGCAAATTCAGCTTGATCCAGTATTTCACTAATACAACAAATATCTGGGCGTGAGAACAAAGTACTGTTAAGGCTAGAGTTTTCTGTCATAATGACATCATCTGATTTTCTGGAAAAAATTACAGTATCTTCATCGAGCCCAATACTGGAAGTTGGTTCATTGTTTAAGCCATTAGACAAGGTATCATATATACTCTGTAGCTTAGAAAAAGCACATTCATTCATTTCAAGGAGCACCTCTTTGTTCTTTTGTGAGTTTTTACTGAAAGAGTACCTCTTCTCTTTCCAAACAAGATTCTTCGCAGCATCAAAACAGATATGTTCCAAACCATAAAGAGAAGTTTTTATACTTGCTTCCTCATTGTTCTTGATAAAATTAACTTTTGAGGCAATCATTTCTATGATAATCCAGAAATGGTCTTGTTTTCCTGTATATGAGTGAACTTTAGGAGAGTCCCCATGAATATCAATCAGCTTTAAAGTACTTTTCTTTAAGATTTCTAGGTCTCCTAAACTATCTCCAAGGTTAACTCCACAGGTAAATGGAATAGAAAGAGTAAAGTCGAAGCAATCAGAACGGTGTTTCATTATGGCTTCACATTCATTAATCTGTCGTTTGTATTTTAAGAATGCATAGTATGAACTGTTTTCTCTTTTTGTTTCTGCCAGCAACTCAACTAATTGATTATGGTAACTCTGCAACTCATAGAATGCATTATATTTTAATCTCCCTTGAAAAGCAGGATAGAAATTGGACTGCAGTTGATAGCCACGTGGTCTGCTAAGTAGCTCGCTGTACAATGTCTCATCATACCAAAGCAAGCTTCGGAATGTTGGTTCACCTTCTAAGAGCCTTTTTTTGTTTTTAATGAATTGAATGGTTTCCATCACCATTTGAAGTTCTACTAAAGTGTCAACAGCACATGGTTTTAATTTGTGCCTACAATTATTCCACAAGTTTTGTCCTACAAGCAATTCTCTTGAAATCAGTATTTGTTCAAGTGCACATGCTTGCTTTCTTTCAAAAGCTTCAACAAATAAAGGAAGAATATCTTGACAAACTTTAGTTTCCTTTTCAAGCATTTCCAAAGATGATGCTTCATCGGCCCTCTGCAAAATTTGAGATAGCTCTGCTATAAAAGATGTATGATTATCTGAGTGCTTTTCTTTTGACTGACTCATATATGATATAGGTGTCTTCTGAAGAATAGTTTCTTTCGAGGTTTCAGAGTGGGTATGTGGAATAGGCATATGATTAGTTCTTAGAATGCTTGGTTTGGAAATACAGTCAGACTGAAAGTCATTACTGGCTTTAATTTTCCCTTCTTTATTTCCTTTAGGCTGATGAGAATCTTTGTTATTCAAAGAGATTGCCTGTGGAATTTTATTCATAAGTAATGGATGAGAATCAGTCGATTTACTTGTTTTCAAACTTAAGTGAGATGGCTTAGTCTTTTGATTTTGATTTTCAATCCTAACAGGTGATCCTTCATACATGTTGCTTTTGTAAACTGAAATTACCTTTTCTGTTTGTTCTTTCCTAAGTTTTGTGTCCTGAATGTCATTCTGTGCAACACATGTTTTTGAAGAATCCTTTACATTACATTTTAAAGGCAGATCATCTTTGGAAGATAGCTTTTTCATGTTTTCCTCATATTTATTTTCTTCAATTACTGGCATTAGATCCAGTTCAGGATGCTCAGGAAGAACATTTGTTTCATTCATGTCTATGTGGAAACAATTACTTGAGAATTCTTTTGTCTTTACAAGACTGTTTCTATCACATATCTTCTGACAGTGGGATACGTTAGGTGGTGTCATTATAGGATCTGTAGCAAACATTATCTGCTTATTCAAAGCAGACTTTGAAGATTCTCCTTCACTATATATTGTGGGAGTGGTAGATAAAAACTGAGGAATACTGTTCTTTTTTCCTGCTACCAAGCTCAGGTTTAGTGGATCCATAATTCCTGTAATAATGCTTGATGTGGAACTCTCATTAGGAGCTGCCCATTCTACTACAGGAAAGATGACTTCATTTCTTTTACAACCAGATAAAGTAAGGTCATCTTGTTTGTAGACATCAGCATTAAGAACATGCTTCATTTCTGACTTTAAGAGTGAAGTAACCTTAATGTCAGCTTTCACCTTTGTGTGAGCTATACAAGGTGTATCACAATTTTTGTCAGTACCACAGCTTCCATTTTTTTCCTTTATGCAACTTAAAGACACTGAGTAACTTTCATTTATTTCTGCATTGGTTTCAGGATTATTTTCAGTTGCATCATTTATATTACCATGTGTTGAATGGTTCTCAAGACTTTCATATTTACTGTTGGATAACTTTTTGTCAACATGTTCCTTTTCAGTTATTTTCTCATCTGGGTAAAGCAGATACTCAGTTTTTTCAGAAAAGGGATGAAGATCTGATGATGCTGGATTTCTGCTATCATCACATTCTGATTGACTTGTACTCTGGGAGGTAGAGGAGAGGAGCAACTGTGACTCAGGATGTTGTTCTTGATCACAAAGTTCTCTGTCAACACTGGTGTGACTTTTGGACACACTACTGGCCACTCTTTTCTTTGAAAAGCACTCCAGGATTCTGTCTCCATTTGTTTTATTAGACCTGTGCTTTGACATCTGGACTAATGATTTATCAGTGTCAAATCCTATAGCTCTTTTTTCTCCATGTTTGTCACATTTCCTTTTGGAGAAAAAGTGCTTAGAATACAACCTTCTTTCAGAACTATAACCTTCAAGGTCACAACTCTCCCAGAAATTATTGCAAATTATTGCATATGCTTTTGGTAATGGGCCCTTTTTTATTTCTCCCACTTTAGATATAAGTTGTAAAGATGTATGAACTCTTCGATGAGCTTTTTTTAAATGAAGAACAGCTTTGTCTAGTTTCCTGGAAAGACGTTTGCTTTTACATAAAGATGCTTCACTATTTAGGATATCCAGGACATTCCTAATATTCCTTTCTGACCGTGAAAATGTTTTAATTCGTCCTTGGGATAATAAAGAGAAATGTTCAGATGAGTCTTGGCTAGTTTGCCTCTTCTTTTTACCACAAATTTCATGGTGTCGTAAATCTTTATTTGCTAGCTTTCTTTTGCTAATTCTTGATTCCATGCCTTTATTTCTAGTATCAGTAAAGTCATAATTTTTTGAATTTGTAGAGGAACATTTGTTCTCAATTACTGGTGTGATGTTAGAATGTTCAGTAGACAAAAATTCACTGTTTGGTTTTTCTGTTGCATGATTCACATGAATGCTGTGACTCAAGTTAGATGAATAAGAGATTTGAAATTTACTCACAAGTCTTGAATCTTGCATTAAATCATCAAGTTTATTTTCACAGGAGTAACTTGAATTTTCATCCAAAGGCTGGGAATACATTTCAAATCCTGGAGTTCTTTCTTCATATATTTCTGGTTTTGTAACTTCATTTATACATTTGTAAAAATTATCATTAATTGTAAGAGAATCATCAGTATGATTAAATCCTGGCCTAAATAAGTTATTAGTAATTCTAATTTGTAGATCTGGGAGAACTGGATTCAGGAGCTCTCTTGTGGTTTTTGGGGTAGAGGAATAAACACAACCATTTTTCTTTAAATAAGGCTGGTCACTATTTTCTCTTGTGAAGGAAGCCTCTATCTCTTCAAAACTGCTTCCAAAGAGACCTTCCCAGTCAATACGAGACTTCAGTATCTCATATGCATCTTCAACCTCATCATAAAGAACATTTCCATGGCTATGTATACCTTGTTGAAATAGAAAAGCATCATCATACTCTTCTGTTTCTATTTCAATCTCACTTTCCAATTCAAAATTTTGAAGAAATAAGTTCTCATCCACTGCTGGATAAAAGGAATCTTGTGAATTACTTTTATCCATATAAATTTCACAATCAGAAGCCTTATGTGTTACTAACAGACCAAAATCGGGACTCTTAGAAATACAAGTTTCATTCAACAGGAATTTCTGGTGATCTTCATGATTTGTGCTTAATGTAGAAATAGTAGTACTACTTACTTGTACTGCAGCATTTGAGACATCTAATGAAGCAGTTGAATTTTCAGAAACTGTTGTGAAAGCCAAATTCTCTACATTTTTTCCAACATTTTGTGTATCTTTTTGTTTTATTACATCATCTTTGTTCTTTAGTAAACCAGTTTCTGCTGATATACCTCTTTTTCTCCAAATCAAATTAAATGCAGAAAATTCTTTAGGACTTGACATTTCTACTTGGTAGTTTTTATTATCTACTTTCTTACTGATATTAGTGAAAAAATTGTGTGTATGAAAACCCTGCTTCTCACTCTCATATAACAGCTCTATATTGTTTTCTGAACATGAAACATATTCTTCTCTAGCTTCATTTTGATTTTCTTTATCATTATCGCCTTGTTCTATAAATTTAATATTCAGGTATATGTCATCATTTAAATTAGCATTACAAAAGAGAATATGATCCTGGTATTCATTTTCAATATTAAGAGTTTCGTTGCAATCTTTTTGAATGTTTTCTAATGACATTGTCTCATTTTCAGTTTTCTTCTGGACAGACATACATTCTTCAGCTGTGCTACGTTCTGAACTGTCAAGAGCAGTTTCAACTGCAGATGAAATAACTGTATCAACAAGTAGTTCTTTCATCTGGGGAATGTCTTTTGCTTCCTGGAGAGCATCCGTAATAATGTTAAAACAATTTTGATCTCTTTCTTCCAATTTCAGTTCTATCAGCTTTTGAGCAATGGTAAAACTTTGATGAATTCCATTGTCATACTCTAAAAAGTGTTGAAGATGCTTTGGGGAATGGCATTCTATACTTGGAGTACTATTACTTTCTAACTGCAATGCTAGGTCATCTACTTTATCCTTATCTTTTTTGGTAGATATGGGAGATTTTGACAGTTCTACTTCTTCAGTTATTAATGTATTTTCATAGTTGTCCACTAAGGAATCAAGCCTCTCATCCTCCCTGTATTCTTGGGGCAATGAAAGGCAATTATCAATTGGACTGATTTTTGTTTCATTAGTAAGATAATTATTAGTTTCATTCCACCAAGTTTGTCTTCCTTCATGTTTGGAACTATCTTCTGAGTCAATGAAGGTTCTTATTTTTCCAGTATTCTCAATGTATTCATCTATGCTTCCTTTCTTTTGGAGTGGAGCAACTGTGGATATCTGATGACCAATCTGATGCATAGTAATGAAATTATAAGCCTGTGATTCCTGAGAGATGTGATCCTTAGATTCTCTTGTACAAGTATTCACTGATTTATAATAGTTATATGATTCATTGTTTTGTGTGCTTCTCTCTTTGGTTCTCTGTGCTTTCTCCTCACTGTGATTTTGGTTCTCAACTTCTGAAACTACATTTGACAAAGAAATTGGGAAATAAATTTTTCCTTGATCGTTATACTGTTCTACTATGACATTCTTATTAGATGGTATACAATCATAGTTCTCTGACATCATGCTGCGAGCCTGAGATTGTGAACCTTCGAAAGAACATGTGAAACAAGAAGTATCCAGACAATTAGCAAGAATAGTATCACCACTAGGTACAACTTCAGATGAGGCAGAAACTGTTGGTATAGATGACAGGTTTATTTCTGAGCTAACGTGATCTAAATTTCTATCAATTGGTACACCATCACTTAAGCCTGTAATATTACTCTGCTTTCCCATGCTTTCTTCTCTCTTCATCAATCGTGGGTCTTTAATGAGTTTTGAAGTAATAACTGTACTTGAGGCAGTATTATTTTGTGGAGGAACAGGTGTAGAAATACTACTTAAAATACTTTTAAGGTATGTCAAATTTAACAAAAGGTCTTCATTACCACTTTCTCTGGGCATAAAAGACAGACTTGAATCATGTACTTGAGAAGTGTCTCTGATTTCTGAACTGTTCTCTGATTGTCCACTATATGTGTCAAAATTAGAAATGTTTCCATTTTGCACATTTCCATAGGAATTAGAAGTATCTGAGTTGGGAAGATTTATGTCTGAATTTAATGTACTGTATAAGCAGCTTTCATCAACAAATGGATCTACAGGTTTCCCAAAGTGCTCAAAAATGACAGTAGCATCTTTTCCTTTTCCAATTCTTTTGGCCACTGTACAGTTATTCAGAGAGCATGTTCTTTCTGTGGAAATAATAGAAAAAAGAAATGTTTATACAATTTCTTTTGTCAGTTGTGGGGCTTGAACTCAGGGCCTGGGCATTGTCCTTGAGCCTCTTTGTGCTCAAGGTTGGTGCTCTATCACTTGAGCCACAGTGCCACTTCTGGTTTTAGTGGTTAATTGGAGGTAAAAGTCTCACATGGACTTCTCTGCCTGGGCTGGCTTCAAACTGTGCCCCCCCAGATCTCAGCCTCCTGAGTAGCTAGGATTATAGGCATGAGTCACTGACACCTGGCTGTTTATACAATTTCTTAACACAAGAAAATTGATTTCAACTGAAAGTTCATCTAATAACTAAGCTGTAATTAAAATGAGTTTTTTTTTTTCTTTTTGGCTGGTCCTGGGGCTTGAACTCTAGGCCTGGGTGCTATCCCTGGGACACTTTGTGCTCAAAGTTATCACTCTACCACTTCATCCACAGTACCACTATGGTTTTCCTGAGTAGTTTATTGGAGATAAGAGTCTCATAGGCACTAGTAGCTCTTGCCTGTAATCCTAACTATTCAGGAAGCTGAGATCTGAGGACTGTGGTTCAAAGCCAGGTAGGAGAGTCTGTGAGACTCATCTCCAATTAACCAATAGAAAACTGGAAGTGGCACTATGTTCAAAGTGCAGAATGCCAGCCTTGAGCTGAAGAGCCCAGGGACAGTGCCCAGGCCCAGAGTTCAAGTCCCATGCCCAACACAACAACATAAGGTCCCACAGACTTTTTGTCCTGGGCTACCTTTGAGTTGTGATCCTCAGAACTCAGGTCCCTGAAGTTAGGATTTCAGATGTGATTCACTGGAGCCTGGCTAAATGAGCTCTTAATAGAAAAGCAGATATAAGAGAATGAATAAGAATAAAGTATAAATAATGCAGTGTGAAACTCCCCTCACTCTAAACTTTACTAAAAGTATTTGTTATAAAAAGTGATTTCTGTAGTTAAGTGTGGGTGTTATACCTGTAATACTGGATAAATACTTGCGAGGCTGAAAGCAGGTTCAAGGCTAACTAGATAAAAAGTTGGTGAGGCCGGGGCAGTGCTGGCTCACGCCTGTAATTCCAGCTACTCAGGAGGATGAGATGTGAACATCGCTGTTCAAAGCCAGCCCAGGCAAAAAAGTCCGTGAGTCTTTTATCTCCAATTAACCACCAGAAAACCTGAAGTGGCTCTATGGCTCAAAGTGGTAGAAAGTGGTAGCCTTGAGCAAAAGAGCTCAGGGACAGAGTCCAGGCCCTGATTGCAAGCCCCACAACAGGAAAAAAAAAGTTTGTAAAATATTATTTCAACAATAACTAGATATTGTTTCACATCTGTCATCCAAATTATGGTGGGAAATGTAACTAGGAGGACTGTAGTTCCGACCAGACTCTGCAAAAAAAGTGAGGCCCCTATCTTAAGAATGACCAGAGCAAAAGGGCTGGAGGTATGTCTCAAGCGCTAATGCCTGCCTAGGAATATGAAGCCCTGAGTTGAAACCACACTACTATCAAGAAAAAAATGTATTCTAACAAATATTAAATAGGAAAACATTTTTTCTCAAATACTAGTCCTTTTTGTATTCATTTGCAAAATTCTGATATCCTAATAGCAGCATCTATATTTTAGTAGGCAAAACTGTCTCTGGTCTGTTATTATACTTTGTTTCATTTCCCTCTACCAGGTAAAAATAAAGTATGCGATAAAGGGATAGGAGGTTCCAGAAATCTCCAACTTTGCAGCATTTTATATTTTATTTTTATTTTTTGTCAGTCATGGGGCCTGAACTCTGGGCTTGGATGCTGTCCCTGAACTCTTCAGCTCAAGGTCAACACTGTACCACTTGAGCCACAGCGCCACTTCCAGCTTTTTCTGCTTATGTGGTGCTGAGGAATTGAACCCAGGGCCTCAAGCATGCGAGGCAATCACTCTACCACTGAGCCACCTTCCCAGCCCCAGCATTTTATATTTTAGATTAGGGATGTGCCAAATTTGTGTATATAAATAAACACTAGATAATGTAAGCAAAGTTTTTCCTAGATTTACAAAAATGTATTTCATAAGGGAATTATAAAATGCATATTTAACTAATAAACAACAATTTATCATAAAAATGCCTGGAAAATATTCAATACTAGGATGATATTAACAGAAACCAATGATAAAAACATTGCAAGATTTATGAAATATGGGGTTGGGAAAGTGGCTCAGTGGTAGAGCGCTTGCCTTGCATGCATGATCTGGGTTCAATTCCTCAGCACCACATAAGCAAAAAGAAAAAAGCAGAAGTGGCATTTTAGCTCAAGTGGTAGAGCACTAGCCTTGAGCTGAAGAGCTGAGGGACAGTGCCCAGGCCCAGAGTTCAGGCCCCAGGACCGGACTCAGAGAAAAAAAAAAGATTTATGAAATATATGAAGCTATAAACTTATTACTGCAGTACCATAAAGTTATTTTATACAGTAAATACCTATGTAGAATATTTCTAAATTCTGTATATATATATATTTATATAAAGATACATTGTACTTGCAAATTTGATGTTAAATTGAAAACCATTTGTACAATTATTTAAAAATAAAAAGTTTAACAAAAATTTTACATTTAACTGTGTATTATTAATTATAGTAACCTATAGTAGAAGAGTATACTTAATAGTAGGAATATGGTAATAAAACAATATATAGATCCCATGTTTCCTTATATAAAAATCAAATACACTATTAAACGAATTCATGGGCTGGGAATGTGGCTTAGTGGTGGAGTGCTTGCCTAGCATGCAGGAAGCCCTGGGTTCAATTCCTCAGTACCACATAAACAGAAAAAAGCCTAAAGTGGCACTGTGGCTCAAGTGGTAGAGCACTAGCCTTGAGCAAAAAAAAGCTCAGGGACAGTGCCCAGGCCCTGAGTTCAAGCCCCAGGATTGGCAAAAAACAAAAAAAAACAAAACAACAACAAATCCAAATAAACACCAAAAAAAACCTCATAAGATTACTAGCAGGGCATATGAATATTTTTTATAACCTTTGGGAGGAAAATACTTTTTTGTACTTGGGCCTGGAGCTTGAACTCAAGGCCTAGGTGCTGTTCCTGAACCTTTTTTTTCCCCTCAAGGCTAGCACTTGAACCATAGGCTCACTTCTGGATTTGGTGGTTAATTGGAAATAGAGTCTCATGTTCTTTCTTGCCCAACCTGGCTTTGAAATATAATCCTCAGATCTGAGGACTATAGGCATGAGCCACCAGTACCCAGCTTACACCTATTTTTTTTTAAAGTGCACACCAACATCGGCCAGGAAAGATCCTATGTTAGGCTATGAAACAATACTTCATAAACAAAAATAAAATTCAAACTATATATTTAACCAAAATGGAATAACTGAGAAATTGATACAGAAACCTATGATATTCTTAAATACTAAGAAATGACAGTTCTAAAAATGAATGTGTCAAAAACAGAAACATTGAAACAAAAATAAAATACTTTCATATGAATAAAAATGAAGGTACAGCCGGGCGCTGGTGGCTCACGCCTGTAATCCTAGCTACTCAGGAGGCTGAGATCTGAGGATCGCGGTTCAAAGCCAGCCCGGGCAAGAAAGACCGTGAGACTCCTATCTCCAATAAACCGCCAGAAAACCGGAAGTGGCGCTGTAGCTCAAGTGGTAGAGCGCTCGCCTTGAGCTGAAGAGCTGAGGGACAGCGCCCAGGCCCAGAGTTCAAGCCCCACAACCGACAAAAAAAAAAAAAAAAAATGAAGGTACAATAGAGCCAAACTTATTGGAGGAGGTAACTAAAATCAATGCTTAGTTCATGAAAGTTCATGCTTGAAAATTATCTGCATTAAGATCTAAAAATGTAACCTAACCTCCTAAACCCTCTGACACCAGAAAAAGAAAAGGCAAGCAGAAGAAAGAAAATAAAAATTAGGTAAAAAATTACTGAAACAGATAATATGACAGAAAAAACACAAACTGAGAGTTTGTTCTTTAAGTCAGTAAAACTGACAGGCTTTTATCCAGGCTGACCAAAAGAAAGAGAAAAGACTCAAATTTAAGAGTCAGGAATGAGAGGGAGGCTATTACTATTGACCTTATGGGGGAAAAAAAGGACTATAAAGGAATATTATAAACTATTGCTTTTCTAACAAATTAGGTAAGTGAAATAAAATGGATAGATTGCTAAAAAAAACAGAGAATACAAAAATTGATGCATGAAGAAACAGAAAACCTACAATCACCCACATATAGTGAAGAAACGGAATTAGTTATTAACACATCACTGAAAAAAATACTAGCTCAGAAAGTCTTTACTGGGGGAAGGGGAAGGGGGGAATGTAGTGGTGGAGATGGGAGGGAAGGGATGTTAGGGGAAAAACAAAGGAGGAAGCAACAATGTTTGATAAGAAATGTACTCATTGCCTTGCTCATGTGATTGTAACCCCTCTGTACAGTATTTTCACAATAAAAAACTTATTTAAAAAAAAGAAAAAAAGAAAGTCTTTACTTGTAAAGTCTATCAAATGTTCAAAGAAGAATTAGTACCAATTCTTCCAAACACATAAAAAATATTTCTCAACATTCTATGAAATTAATATTATCCAGACACCAAAACCAGACAAAGGTATCTCAAGAAAACTAAATACATGACAGACAGGATGAGTCTGGTCAAGGTACATTGTATGCAACATGTGGAACAAGAAAACTATAAACCAGTAATCTCTTATAAATATAGACACATAAATCCTCAACAAAATTGCAGCAAGCAAACTGCAGATTCCAGCAACATATGAGATGAATTATATACCATGACTGGATGGGATCATATCAGGAATGAAAAGCTTACTTTCTGAACATCAATTTATTTCACCACATTAATAAAATAAAAACCCAAACCCACATGTTTATCTCAAGAGACACAAAGAACACATTTAACAAAAGCCAACATTTTTTCATGATAAAAATTACATGATACACTAGGAACAAAAGGACCTGATTCACACAATAAAGGGCAAATCTGTAACAATTGCCATTATGCTTACTGGTAAAAAGAATGGCTCATTTACCCTAAATTCAAGAATGAGATACAGGTAAGTGCTTTCACTAATTCAGTATCTCACTCAAAATACTAGCTAAGGCAATTATGCAAAAAGAAAGCAAAACTAATAAAAATGAATAAATAAAAGGCATCCAGGTTGAAAAGAAAAAAATAAAACTATATAGATGACATGAGCTTGTATACAGGACATTCAAGCAATACACTAACAAGATGATTACTATTAATGATCTCATGGAAAGTTACAAAGTATCAGAGCTCAATACACAAAATTAAATCATATTGTTATGAATACACAAATGAAATTAAGAAAATAATTCTATTTATGATAACATCAAAAGGAATAAAATACTTAACAACTTAAAGGAAATACAGAGCTTAAATCCTCAAAACTTGGCCCAAATGGTAGAAATACCTTCCTAGCAAGCATGATATCCTGAGTTCAAACATCAATGTTGCCTCCATAATATTCAAAAAACATAAAAAGTACTTATATGTATACATATATGCATCTATATACATCTATACATATGTGTACATGTATATCTATATCTATATATAACAGAATACTCCCTTATCTATTCCTAAAAATGAATAAACTGTTGATATACTTATCAACATAGAAGAATTATATGAACACATATTGATCAAAGTAAGTAAAAAAAAATGCTGGCTGTAGTGGGTAACTCTTATAATCTTAGATACTTGTGAGGCAGACAGCAGGGCTTCAAGATCAGCCTGGGTATAACAAAAAAAGTGGTGAGATTTCATCTAAACTAATGGCTGGGCAAGGTGGTGCACACCTGTGTACAAGGAAGCACAAGTAGGAGGATCAAAACCCAGGCTGGCCTAGACAGCCTGAAAATAACAAATACAAAAAAAGAGGCTGGTGATGTGACTCAAGTGTGAGGCCCTAGTTCAATCATCAGTAGAGTTTAAAAAAAAAAAAAGAAGCATTTGAACCAGGCACTGGTGTCTCATGCCTGTAATCCTAGCTACTGAGGAGGCTGAAATCTGAAGATCCCAGTTCAGAGCCAGCCTGGAAAGGAAAATCTGTGTCTCTGTTACCACCAGTTAACCACCAGAAAACTAAAGTGGTAGAGCACTAGTCTTAAGCAAAAGAGCTTAGCTCAAGAACAGCACCCAGACCCTGAGTTCAATCACCATGACTGACAAAAAATAAAAAAAGCATTGAGGGTGATCATAGATTCACAAATGGAAAACAGGTAAAACATACTATCTTTTTTTTTCCCAAAAGACATACAAATTTAATTAAGAGATGATACAAGTAGAAGTGGCAAGCAACCTATAAAGTCGAGTCAATCAGAATAACAGCAGATTTCTCAACAGAAACTGTTGAAGCAGGAATGGAATGAGATATTTTAAGTGCTGAAGTAACTAGTATCCTAGATAACTCTATTTAGCAAACCTATCATTCATAAATGAAAGATAAAACCCTTCTGTGATGAACAAAAACAAATGACTTATGACCACTAAAGCACTGCAGAAGATATTCAAAAGGAAACCTCTATACACAAAAGATGAAGATAGGGGCTGGGAAGATGGATCAGTGGCAGAGTGCTTGCCTTGCACGCATGAGGCCCTGGGTTCAATTTCTCAGCACCACATAAACAGAAAAAGCCGGAAGTAGCACTGTGGCTCAAGTGGTAGAGCGATTGCCTTGAGCTGAAGAGATGAGGGATAGCACCCAGGCCCAGAATTCAAGCCTCATGACCAAAAAAAAAAAAAAAAAAAAGAAGATACGTGAAAATACAGAGGAGGTAAAAAAATCACACCAGATGAGTAGATAAGCAAATGAAAAGCGGGAAAGACTCATATGCTACAGTAATAGCAGGAATTACTCTATATCTTTCAATACCAATACTGAATGCAAAACACACTATCTTGCTTAGAGATCAATGACATTATTAGAAAAGAATATTCAGAAAATTCAAGAGCAGCACAAATATTTCTGAAGTAGAGTAAGATATGAATCTTACCAGGTCTTTGAGTAAGTCTGGGTGTCAGGACTTTTAAAGATGTTGTAAGGTGTCCATTATCTATTTTTTGACCAATAAATTTTACTGTTACCACCGCATAAGGTAGACACTGCCTTGGCTTATCTACTGGCTTTGAATAGATATCATATTCATAGAAGTATACCTAAAAATTAAAAAGAAAATTAATGATGATGAATTTTGGCAGTTAAGACTTGATAAACTATTTCAATAATGATAAAGCTGCACAATGTCATGTGTTTTTATCTACTTCAATGAATCTCCTATACTTTTCAACACTAGTTTTGTCAAATATATATAAAATTCCTCCCCTCCCCTGACCACAGTACTTATTCTTGGTAGGCTACCAATGTTACAAAATGCAGACATCATGTATTTTTTTCTTTTAAATTTTATTTTTTGTTATTACATAAGTTAGTTATATAAGTTAGGTAAAGAGCATGTTTCTTTTTGGACAATGTCATCCCTTCATGTATTCTTTTAAATATTTTCTATTCAAAGTTAAATGTTTTACATATGCTCTGACCATTATATTGAACTTGGTAGAAAAAAATTATAACATCTTAGTACTTTTTATATATAGAAGTATATATAGACATTTATATAAGATTTATCTTCATTTACTCATGTATAAAAGACATAATCCTCTGTGGAAAAATTAAAAAGCTACAAAATATCTTAACCAAATATGATCAGAAAACGCTGTCTCACCAAATGCCTCATCTATAAAGTTTTCTTTTGCTCCTTTTCCAAAGTATAAAGAGCCAATGATATTGCCTCAGAACAGCCTTACTTTAAAATTACTATTTTAACTGATTAATCATAATGGTATATATTTATGGGGTACATGTGGTGTTTTGACAGAAAAGTACTATATGGATGATTAAGTCAAACTAATTAATGTTATCTATCATCTTATGCCTCATTTTTCATAGTGAAACATTCTCAATGTACTCTTGGCAATTTTTAAGTTTACCATAGTCGCTTTGAAGTGAAACTTTGCTTGAAAGACAAACTAGTAATTAATTTACGGAATATTCAAATAAAAATGATTACTGCACTAAGCATATGACTTCCAAATAAAAAGCCTCGATGTTAACATACTGCAGAGTTGTAGGCTTGTAGCTCAATGGTATCTTTCACAGAAGGTACAGTTTTTGACATATGGCAATCAAAGTTAGGAGAAGGATCCAAAGAAACTTTGTTTTTATCCACAGAAGGCTGAACTTTCTTCACTTTTCCAAAGAGAACCTGAAAAAAAATTCAGCATAATATTTTTCAGATCCTCATGCTTCAAACAACAAAATGCTAACACTGTTAATGTTCCAAATGAATGGGATGATATAACATGGTGATTTTTATCACTTCTCTTCTAAATTAAACTGGGGCTAGAGTAATTCTAATACAATTTTTTTTAAAAAAATCTACTTTCAGATATTTTAGTGTAAAAACCTGTATGGAAGACTATACAAGTAATAGCCCAGAAAATTATTTTAAAATGTGTGTGAGAAATAGAAAATGGAATAGGTGGTTTGTAATTCCATATATTAAGATGCCTTTTAAACACAAGACAAAAGGAAAAACAAACAGAAAAACATCAAAGCCCAGAAGTATGTTCATCTATATAAAAATGTATGTGAGCTGGAATGTGGCATAGTTGTAGAGTGCTTGTCTAGCATTCATGAGGCCCTGGGTTTGATTCCTCACTACTACATACGTGATTGTAATTATCATTTCAAAGTTACACCAACTATAATTAACCAATACATGGTAGAAGAAAAAATTAAATTCTTTTTAAAATCTGCAAACCAAAGTAAATACCAAGCAAGTTAGCTTTTTTTTTTCTTTTTGTTTTTTTGTCAGTCACGGGGTCTGAACTCTGGGCCTGGGCACTGTCCTTCAGCTCTTCAGCTCAAGAGTAACACTCTACTACTTGAGCCCCAGCGCCACTCCCAGCTTTTTCTGCTTATCTGGTGCTGCGGAAACCAACACAGCAGCACATGCATGCAAGGCAAGCACTCTACCACTGAGCCACATTCCCAGCCCTCACAGTCTTTAAAAGAGGATAATACACAGATGTAGTGACGGTGTGATAGAACTGTTAACTAGTAAAAGCTTTTTACAGAACAACTGGGCATTACATAGCACAAGCTGTAAAAATATACATTATCCTTGACTGTAATTTGACACCTATGAATAAAAAAATTGTTAGGGGCTGGAAATGTGGCTTAGTGGTAGAGTGCTTGCCTAGCATGCATGAAGCCCTGGGTTCCACTCCTTAGTACCACATAAACAGAGAAGGCCAGGAGTGGCATTGCTATCCTTGAGCAAAAGTAGTTCAGGGACAGTGCCCAGACCCTGAATTCAAGCCCCAGGACTGGGAAAAAAATGAAATGAAATGAAACAAAACAATTCTTAGCAAATAGGAGCCAAGGTAGTTCAATAGTAGGACAGCCTGCGGTTATTAGAATGAATGTGTCCCTGGGTTCTTTCTATATCTTAGCATGTACTCATACATATGTGTGAAAAACTACTTATACAAAAATGACCAAAATCAAATCAAACCAAACCAAACTTAGATCCAAACATTAAAAATGTGTTCAAAGCTGGGCACTGGTAGCTCACACCTACAATCATATCTATTCAGGAGTATGAGATCTGGTTCAAAACCAGGAAAGTTTTTTTTTTATTTTTTTAATTGTGAAAATACCATACAGAGGGGGTTACAATTACATAGGCAAGATAATGAGTACATTTCTTATCAAGCATGGTTGCCTCCTCCTTTGTTTCCCCTTCCCATCCCTTCTCCCCCCCTCACCAAAGTTGTAAAGTTCATTTTTCGACATAACGATTTGTACATCTCATTGTTGCAATGGGTCCACCTGTATCCCTATTTAAATGATTTGTTTTTTCCCTTCCCCTCCACAAATTATACCAACATCAAATAGTGAAAGCAGGGGTTATACTGTGGGGGAGGGACATACAAAGCAACAAAGAAATCATCTTTTTTTTTTTTTTTTGTCTTTTCTTTTTTGGTACTGGGGATCAAACCCAGGACGTTGCACTAATTAGGCAAGCTCTTTGCCGCTGAGCTACATCCCAGCCTGAAAGAAATCATCTTATAAATATGTTAGGAACAATTTCATGAAAGCAAAAACATTTGAATACTTATCTTGGGGTTCATTTCACCTAACATCAACTTATCTGACCTTTTCTGCTTGTCTCAGACATATACTAGTTATTGCAAATAAAGCCAGGAAAGGTTGTGAGACTCATCTCCAATTAACCACCAGAAAACTAGAAGTAGTGCTGTGGCTCAAAGTGGTAGAGTGCTAACCTTTAGTAAAAGAGCTCAGGGATAGCACCCAGGACATGAGTTTGAGCTCCATGACTGACAGAAAAAACAATGTGTTTGAGGTTGAGCCACGTATGACAGCATACACTTGTTATTCCCGCAAAGCGAGTTAATAGGAACCAAAATCGAGAGCTTAAGGCATGCCTGAGCCACACAGTGAGACTGGCTGAAAAGCAAACACAAAACCTCCAAACTTGTGAGGCAAATTCATAGTAGAGGTGTATAGTGGAACACTGTGTAACCATCCACAAGGAGAAATACAATGTAGTCTTACAGTCCCAGTTACTTGAGAGACAAAGGAAGAAGGGACTCTTGAATACAGGACTTCAAGGCCAGCCTAGGCAACATAGTAGGACCTTGCTGTTTAGAGAACTTATTTAATGGCATGTAAAATATAAATTTTAACAGTCCCCATAAAAGCAAGGTACATGATACATAGAGCACATTACACATGCACATCTGTTTATATGATGAGAAGACAAAACATAAAATCCTGGCACCAGTGGTTCATGTCTGTAATCCTAGCTACTCTGAGGACTGTAGTTTGAAACCAGCCCAGAAAGAAAAGTCTGTGAGACTCTTCTCTCCAATTAACCCACAAAAAGTTGAAAGTGGTGGTGTGACTCAAGTGGTAGTGTCAACCTTGAGTGCAAAGCTAAGGGATAGCATCTGGACTTGAGATCAGCCAGATCACTGGCACAGAACGATAAAAAAGACTAAATATAGATATAAAAGACTATGATTATCATAGGGATTTTGGAAGGTTTTTATTCTGTACCAAATTTTCTAAAACTCAGTATATTATTTATTATTATTATTTATTGTGGTAGTTAGTACTGGGACTTAACCTTGGGGGCTGGGTGCTGTTCTTTTTTATTTTTGACTGGTCCTGGGCTCTGTCCCTGAGCGTGTTTGTGCTCAAGGCTGGTACTCTATCACTTAAACCACAGAGTCATTTCTGGCTTTTTCTGTTTATGTGGTACTGAGGAATTGAACCCAGGGCTTCATGCATGCTAGACAAGCACTCTACCACTGAGCTACCTTCCCAGCCCATGGGGCTGTTCTTTAGCTTTTTCACTCAAGGCTAGTGTTCCATCACTTGAGTTCTACTTCTGCCTTTTGAGTGGTTAGCTGGAAATAAGAGACTCATGGACCTTCCTGAATGGGCCACCTTTAAACTGCAATCCTCAGGTTGTAGCCTCCTGAGTAGCTAGGATTACAGACATGAGCCATAGGCACCAGATTATATCCATTAAATATAAAAACAAATTATGCTTAAGTAATGATATACTTGAGATAAAAATAAGCAATTATGTTATATACTATTAATTTTATAGAGGTTATATGAACATCTTGGTTTTCCGTCTCCAAGGGAAGGATACTGCCTACCTACTGTGATTTTATTTGGCCTTCTAAAGCTACAATTTCTTTTTGTCGGTCGTGGACCTGAACTCTGGGCCTGGGCACTGTCCCTTAGCTCTTCAGCTCAAGGCTAGTGTTCTACCACTTGAGCCATAGTACCACTTCCTGCTTTTACTGCTTATGTGGTGCTGAGGAATCGAACCCAGGGCCTCATGCATGCAAGGCAAGCACTCTACCACTGAGCTATCTTCCCAGCCCCAGAAGCTACAATTTTTTTTAAACAACTGACCTGTTAAACCTTGAAATTCTATGAGACTCATTTTCAACTCTCAATAGTTTAGAATTTCAGAAAAGTTGCGAAACTAGTTCAAAACTGATTCTGGGGAAAGATGGAGTAGTACACATCAGAAATATGCCTCCCTACAACAGAAGAGTCTGTCTGTTGTAACTATTTTGGAATTTCCAGGGCAAGGTTTAGATAGCATATTGTACTTAGCCCATTTGCAGGTATTTTTTCCACTCCTGTGGCCCCATAGCAGCTTGGTGTGCATGTGTTCCAAAAGTAACTTGCACACCACTTAAAGAAGAATGGGCAGTGTAAACCTAAGGAGAATGTGTTCTCGTCACTGATTACTTATAACAGGTGCAAACAGGTGATCTCTCTGTTTTGTTTTTTTTTAAAATATTGCTCTTATGTCTAAGAGACTTAGAGGATTTAAAGGGCCAGTGCCCCATTCCTCAGGGAGGTAGATATGGAAGATTGTCATTTAAAATCAACCATGAATAGCTGAGAGTACATCTCAATGGTAGAGGGCTTGCTTTGCATGTAAAAGCCACTATGTTTGTTGTCAGTATTGCTATTCCAATTCTCTTCCCTATTTCCTCCACATACACACAAAAAGCAAAACAAACAAAAAACCTACAAATCAGAGGAAATTAGAAAGTTACCATACAGAAGCAAATGCTCAGAAAAAGATCTGAAATAAAATAAAAAAAAAACCTGATGACTATAGCTGGGCACCAGGGTCTCACACTGTAATCCAAGCTACTCAGGAGGCTGAGATCTGAAGATCATGGTTTGAAGCCAGCCCAGACAGCAAAATCTGTGAGACTTTATCTCCAACTGACGATCTAAAAGGTCCTAACTGTGACTCAAGTGGTAGAACACTAACCTTGTGAAAAAAAAGTTCAGAGACAGTGCCCAAGAGTGTGTGTGTGTGTGTGTGTGTGTGTGTGTGCGCACGCACGCACACACACACACACACACACACACACACAAAGCTGAACTGTGTGTGGCTCAAGTAGTACAGTGCCAGCTGTAAGAGAAAAAGCCAAGCAAAAGTGCAGGTACCAGCACACACACATACACCCTTCAAACAAAACTGGTAACAGTAAAATCAGTTTTATTTTACCACAATTAACAAGTTGGAAAGAAATACTTATGTACTTTTCTCATTTTAGGAAAATGGTTATTTGGAAAACTAGAAGGGACGTGTGTGTGTGTTTGTGTGTGTGTGTGTGTGTATGCACTCTGTAAGAAACCTAGAACTCCATGCATGCTGGGCAAAACTCTTCCGCTGGGCAAAAACTCTTCCACTGAGATGTATCTTCAGTTCTAAAGCTTATTATGGGTAACAACTGAGTGCATTTTTTCTGGTCTTTTTGTAATTTAAGTGTTTTATCATCTCAGTTATCCCATATATTATTTTTAATACTTTAATGTTTATTAATTTCAAAAACTTTCAAATCATTAATATGATTTTCACATCTTTAAAAATGCTCTGTAAACCTAATGGCAAGAAATGGATAGTATTCCAGAGAAAGGATATATGGTAACTGTCCAATGCTCTAAGGTAGGCATTTATATCATGGCTATTTCCTAATATAAACAATATTCCCTCTCATATAGTCACAGACACACTCATTTAGAGGCCTTGAATCACCTAGGCAAAAGTTTTTTCAAAACTAACATTTTATGTAACCGTAACATAAGTATTAAAATTACAAAATTGATATTTGAAGCTGGAAGCATAGCTTAAATGGTAGAGCATATAGTTAGGAAGAGAGAGGCCCTGAGTTCAAACTCTAATCCTTGTTAAAAAACAAAAAGCTTAATTAAGTTCAGCTTATGCAAAAGTCACTTTACCACAATGTTTAATAGGAGGACACAAAATTTAATATTAATTATGATATAGACAAAAGAAATAAAAGGAGTAGAAACAGGGGCTGGGAAGGTGGCTCAGTGGTAGAGTGATTGCCTTGCATGCCTGAGGCCCTGGGTTCGATTCCTTAGCACCACACCAGCAGAAAAAGCAGGAAGTGGTTGTGGCTCAAGTGATAGAGTGCTAGCTTTGAGCTGAAGAGCTGAGGGACAGCGCCCAGACCCAGAGTTCAGGCCCCACAACCAACAAAAAAGAGCAGGAACAATTGTCCATAATAAATGTAACACTGAGAAGACGAAGATGAGGACTGCCTTTGCTTACTGAAAATTAAGTCAAATAAGAGTCAAGAATGGGGAAAATTCTAATGATGATAACATGTTATTTTACATAATGAAATTTAAAATACTAATTTAAACTGAGAGGAAAGTATGTCCAGGTTAATTTAAGATCAACTGTTCATATAATTAGCATTTTTATGCTACCTACCTTAAAAATTACAATACCTTCCACAGCAGTGCTTCGACTATGAGCATAATTCAAGGCAACATCAACATGTCTAAATATATAAATTCCCAGAAGGGGATTTCCCAGTATCTTCAATGTCGATGCTTTAGTACTTATCCCGCTCTGGTAAATCTCTGCCATGTCACTCTGAGGAAGTGCTAAAAAGCAGAAATGTTCTTCAAGTTCTCTGCCATGCCTTCCATTCTCACGCATCTCTGACCTAAAGTAAACAAAACAAATACTGTATACAGTTTAAACAATAATTTTCAGGATGTTTCAGCTTAGTAACTATTAAAAAGAAAAATACTGATAGCATTCAGAGGTATCACATACCCCTACCATTAGTTAGCTTGAATATCTAAAGGTTAAATTGAAGACTTAACTTTTTTTGGTTATCTGATAAGAACATTTCTCAAATGCTGTTAATACATTCACCAGAAAGTCTTAAAAGTTTTACATGCATTTTGCCAATTTGTTCTCAACTCACCTCAAAGTTATTATTGAATTCATTAAAAAAAATGAAGTTTAGGGGCTGAGGATACTGTTCAAGCACTGCCACTTAGGGACCAAGCATAAGGTCCCTAAGTTCAAACCCCAACACTACCCCTATATCCTACAAAAAAGCTAAAGCTTGTCAAACTATCAAAGTGACAGGGTTGGAACCATACAAGTCTATTTCATTTTATTGTGCCTCATATAAACAATTTTTTAAAAAATAAATTGGAGGGGTCTGGGAATATGGCTTGGTGGTAGAGTGCTTGCCTAGCATGCATCAAGCTCTGGGTTTGATTCCTTGCTACCACATAAAACAGAAAAAAACTGGAAGTGGCACTGTGGCTCAAGTGATAGAGCTAGCCCTGAGTACAGAAAGGCTCAGGGACAGAGCCCAGACCCTGAGTTCAAACCCCAGGACTGGCAATCTTGTATCTGCAAGGCTATCAGTGTCATTTTTTTCCAAAAGTACACACCCACTTTATGTTTCTGTGTCACATGTTCACATTGTTTTAATAGAGTAAACGTTTCCTTTTACTAAAGTTGTTATGGTGCTCCGTGATTAGTCGCCTAGAATGTTACCATTATAATAGCTGTGGGGTGTCAGAGCACATTCATATAAAGTAACGAACATAATAAATGTGTTCTGACTGTTCTGCTGGCCAGCCATCCCCACCATCTCTCTCTTTCATCAACCCCACCTATTCTATGAGAAACAATATTAAAAATTAGGCCAGCCGCGTGCCAGGGGCTCACGCCTATAATCCTAGCTACTCAGGAGGCTGAGATCTGAGAATCATGGTTCAAAGCCAGCCCTGGCAGGAAACTCCGTGAGACTTATCTCCAATAAACCACTAGAAAACTGGAAGTGGTGCTGCGGTTCAAGTGGTAGAGGGCTTGCCTTGAGCAAGAACAGTACTAGCGTCAACCAGGTACCACCAGCTGGTACAAAAGGTTCAGACACCAGGACAGAAATGTGATTCCAGTGGGATGAATGTGGCAGATGAAGTGGATAAGGAAAAAGTATATATATGTGTGTAGAAATGTCTCAATGAACCTTTCTTCCCATAAGAGAATAAGAAACAAAAAAATTGGAAAAGCTGGTCACTGGTAGCTCATGCCTGTAATCTTAGTTACTCAGGAAGTTGAGATCTGAGGATTATGGTTAGGAGCCAGCCCATAAAGTCAATGAGACTCCAATTAACCATCAGAAAACCAAAAGTGGCACTGTTGCTCAAAGTGGTAGAGCACTAGCCTGCAAAAGAGCTCAGAGACAGTGCCCAGGCCCCAAGGTAATCCCCATCAATAACCAAAAAAGGAAAAAAAAGAAAAAAAGAAAGATTAAAAATCCTCTTCTAAAAAGCAAATGCTTTGGGTACTCAGATTGTGGCCCAAGTCCCTAAATGCCATTCCCCTGTGAAAAATTCTTAGAAGCACAGGGCCAACCTATAGATGCATCTTCGATTTTGAGCTGACACCTTGTCTTTAAAAAAAAATGTATTAGTTATTATAAAGGTTATATACAGAAGAATTATAGTTACATAGTCAGTAATAAGTGCATTTTTTCTTTCTTTTTTATTTTTTTCCGGTACTGGGGCTTGAGGTCAAGGCTGGGGCCTGAGCTTCTTTTGCTTAAAGCTAGCACTCTACCACTTGAGCCACAGTGCCACTTCTAGCTCTTTCTGTGTATAAACACTGAGGAATCAAACCCAGGGATTCATGCATGCTAGACAAGCACTCTACCACTAAGCCACATTCCCAGCCCTCACCTTTTCTTTTTTTTTAAAGGTGATTCCAAATTAGTATCTACGATGGAGAGCTTACAGGACCTAGAAGATATGGAAAATTGTTCTTGAAAGCTACATAGTAAGATTTATTTTTCTGGAACACTTCTCACAGAAGTTGTATATCATATACATATTACTATTTAATTTACAAGAACCATCTACCACTAAGAGCAGACAGGACAGAAAATACATATGAAAGTATGTCACTGACAGAAAAGATCATGACCACTTGTCTCCTAGATCGTAACAATGTCACCCTTTACTTTTGATTAAATATGTCTGCTTTTACATTCAAGTTGGTGTTACTAAATTCTATGAAACACTATGATCGCTATGTTGAGATAAGAGTTCTCACAAAGAAGTCTAATGGTCCATGCCCTACTTCCTTTTCCCATTTCTCAGTTGGCTTTTCTAGGGATAAGGAACGATATTAAATTTCTTAGTAACTTCTAAGTCTCTCACAGGGAAAACACTAACAATAGCAACAAAAAAAGATGTATGGGCAGAAAAGTATATTGTAAGATTCCTATACTACACACAAATGTAACATCATCAAAAGATACACTCTTTATAGATACACTCTTTATAGATAACGAAGACACAGAATAATCCTAGAGCAGGGTTTTTAAATGGCTAGTACCACTGACATTTTGGGCCATATTACTTTACCTAGTCATCCTGTTGTCTAAATATCTTGTTGGCTAAATCTGAAGGGATTCAGTAGAAAAATATAATAAAAAATCTAATGCCAGGCTACAAAAAAACCCCACTGAATTAAAGCAGAAACAATCTTCTGAATTTTGTATTAGTAATAATGATGATAGGTACTTTTTTAGTTTTCAATGAATGCTTCAGAATTACATTTGAAAAAAGAATCAGGCCTCTTTAAGAATGACAATAAAAAATGGATAAAATGATGGTTGAAACTATTTCTGTCAACAGGGTGTGGTTGCACTTGCCTGTAATCCTAGCTACTCAGAAGGCTGAGATCTGAAAGTCTGTGAGACTTTTTTTTTGGCCAGTTGTAGGCTTCAACTCTGAGCCTGAGGCGCTGTCCTTCAGCTCTTCATCTCAAGGTGAGCGCTCTACCACTAGAGCTTCTTGAGCCACAGCCCACTTTCAGTTTTCTGGTGGTTAATTGGGTCTCACGGACTTTCCTCCTGTGGTTGGCTTTGAACCATGATCCTCATATCTCAGCCTCCTGAGTAGCTAGGATTATAGGTGTGAGCCACCAGCTCCTGGCTCTGAGACTCTTATCTCTAATTAACCACCAGAAAACCAGTAGTGGTGCTATGGGTCAAGTGGTAGAGTGCTTGCCTTGAGCTGAAGAGCTCAGGGACAGTGCCCAGGCCCAGAGTTCAAGCCCCACAACCAACAAAAAACCAAACAAAAAACCCCAACACGAGTTCTGTCCTAAGTTTATGTAAAAGTTAGGCTTTCCAAAGTTATTCAGACACTAAGATTTGTCACACTATTAAAGGCAGAAGCTGAATCTTGAGAACCTTCTCATAATACAAATCTGAATCCACAGTGGCCTATTCCTATCGAATTTTACTATGAAACTGCTTCTTACTCATTTGCATTTAAAGTATTTCTTTGCTGTATAAACTTGAGTTGTTTCATTTACCAGGAAAAAAAAATATTTAAAAGGAGGTTGGGAAAACATGAAGGCAACAGATTTGTGCTTTGCCATGTACTTGTGTTACACCTTGCTCCTTTCTCAACCTATGCTGACACTAACTTTGGAAAAGATGAATTCTCTACTTCAATTTAAACTTGCAAGGTAGAACACATACAATCAGAAGTTGTTTTTTGTTTTTATTTTGCCAGTCCTGGGGCTTGAACTTAGGGCCTCAGCACTGTCTCTGAGCTTCTTTTACTAAAGGCTAGGACTCTACCTACCACTTGAACCACAGTGTCACTTGCGGCTTTTTCTGTGTATATTGTACTGAGGAATCAAACCCAGGGCTTCATGCATGCTAGGCAAGCATTCTACCACTAAGCCACATTCCTAGACCAGTAAGATTTTTTTTGAAATTTGGATTTTTTATGATTTATAAAAACATTTTTATTGGATATAAATAGGAAGTAGTTGCACTCTAAATATTTTGCATATTTTTGGTGTAATTTCTCTTAAAAATGACAGCTTCATGAAATACATGGATTATGTCTCAAAAGATTGTCACTAATCCCCTATCTGGAGTCCTTAGTGCCCTTTCCCTGAATTAAACCCTTATTTTAGAATCCCTTTCTTGCTAATATCCCTTTTCTAGTACTAAATTCAGTGCAAATTTGAATCACTGACTTCACATAGAGAAATTCATTTCCAAATGACTTCAAATAAGTTAGCTTCTTATCATAAGTTAAGACATCAGGTAGCCTTCATGAAGATTAACTGATTGTATGACTCCAAATTCTCTTCAAAAGTCTTGGGTTTTTTTCATCCTTTTTTGCTTTACTGTTCTTACCACTGAGGTCATTTTAACACTAATCTCATTATCTCAGGAGTGCTGCTCCTGAGTACTATGGTAAACATAGAGTATGAATTTTTGTCTAATAGGGCAAATATTCAAACAAATTCCTGACATTGTTGATTATTAAGAATGTTCTAACATGTCCTATATCATTGTCTTAACTTTTCTGTAACAAAAAGTAACTGAAAAAAAAACAAAATTTTCAAGACTAAAATAAATTACAGTATCAAGTTTTGTGTGTGTTCTAGAACTGGGTCTTACACATAGCTAGTACTCTCCCTTTCGAAATATGCCTCCAGTCTCCCCCAAATTAATTAAAAAAAAAACTGTGCTTTGAATGTGAATATGTCATTTTCTACTGCCACGCCTAATTGTAGTTTTTAGAAGGAAGAGAATATGCCAGTTCCAAGTTCCCAAGCTCACAACAAAGGGGTCTAAATATTTGAGTCAAGAAAGATTCATTCTAAAGCAAAAATAAGTTTTACAGGTAGGACTTTCAAGCTTAGGCTTGAGGTTTAAAAGTGCAAAATCGTAAAGAAAAGTTTAGAAAATGAATATGCTATTTTAAATTATCCTAATACAAATTTATATCTATAAATTCAAAATTTGAAGAGTTTGTGTATATATGTATTTTTTTTGGGGGGGGGTCTGGTCATGGGGCCTGAATTCTGGCCTGGGCACTGTCCCTCAGCTCTTCAGCTCAAGGCTAGTGCTCTACCACTTGAGTCATAGCACCACTTCCGGCTTTTTTTTTGTTTATATGGTGCTGAGGACTCAAACCCAGGGCCTCATACATGCAAGGCAAGCACTCTACCACTGAGCCACCTTCCCAGCCCAGTTCGTATATTGAAAAAAAATCAAAACAACAATAAGGTAATTGCCTTCCCAGAAAGTTAAATGGGTACTTTCAAGAACCATTAGAAAGAAGCTAGATGCTAGTGGTTCACACCTGTAATCCCAGCTACTTAGGAAGCTGACATATGAGTTTGAAGATAGCCTGGGCAGGAAAGCCTTATCTCCAATAATCATCAGAAAACTGCTAGTAAAGCTGTGGCTCAATTGGCAGAGTGCTAGCCTTGAGTACAAAGGCTCAGAAACAGCATTCATACCTTGAGTCCCAGGACTGACAGGGACATGCAGAGGGACATATAGAAGGATACACACACAAACTCCAATTTTGGCATTAAAGCTAAGGAACAGTTTTACTGGAATTATTGAAAACAGCCAGATATAACCTTCTCAAATTAAAGTATCTATCAACCTTACGCCAGGTGCTAGTGGCTCATGCCTATAATCTTAGCTATTCAGGAGGCTGAGATCTGAGGATCTCAGTTCAAAGCCAGTCTGGCAGGAAAGTCTGTGAGACTCTTATCTTCAACTAAACGACCAGAAAACTGGAGGTGGTGCTGTGGTTCAAGTGGTAGAGCACTCGCCTTGAGCTGAAGAGTTGAAGGACAGCCCCCAGGCCCAGAGTTCAAGCCCCATGACCGACACCCACCCCCACCCCCACACACACTGTGTATATATAGAGGTTGATATATATATATATATATACATATATATATGTATATATATGTATATATACACATCACCTCTTTAGAGGAACAAAAAAGTTGTTTCTCATTACTTTCCTATTTTACATTACCCAGGAAGGGACCTAAGAAATGAGCTGATGAATGTTTCTGAAAAAAAAAATGAAGGTAAAAAATTAGAAGAGTATCTGAAATCTAGTATTAGTGCATGATCACTAATGTTCATTATTATACAACCACATAATCAAATTTCAGACAAATCAATACTATCCTCTTGCACAAATATTTCTGAATCACCAAAGACTGTAAGAAGGTTAACAGTAACCTTCACTGATTTATCCAGTACTGCTATTTTCTTAGTGAGTCTTAGTAAATCTAAAATGGTATAAATGAATTAGTGAAAGAAACCATAGTACAAAAAAAATTTCTCAAACTTGTTTAGTTCATAGAGACTTACCTCTTAGCAGTAAATTTTTTTTCCAGATGCTCATTGTGAATTAGTTTTGTATCCCCAAATTGCCATGTGGCCTGTAGATCACAACTTACATCAAGCCTGCATTGCTTTAAATTGTCATGTATGAAACTATACTCCCTAGTATTAGTGCAACAAGATGACAAGTAAACTACAAACAAAAAAAGGAGAATAGTTACTTCTGATTAAATGATACATTGTACATACATACAATAGCATTATATTGATATAAAATAAAAAACAATGAACTTCTTGGAAATTTTATTAACTATTGAAGGCAACAATTTACATTTAAGGTTTTACCAAAGTAATATGGACCTTCTACATTGGCAGTAAATTAAAACATGAGCCATATTTTTCTTCACATATCATTGGCGTTATTAAAAGTTGACACTAATGTAGATTAGAAGATGTATTAGAATTCAGGTTGTTTGCAATTGAAGTTGTATTCTGTGAATCATCACCCAAATTTGTAAGGCAATTCATATACTAAAAATGATTTGCAAGTATAACAGAATCTATTTGTAAGCTGGAAATGGTTACAGTGGCACATGTAAGAGGAACAAGGTTTTCTCAGGACAGTGAGCAATGTTTCAAGTTGTTACTATATTAATTAGATGCAGAAATGGATAAAACCTTGATAAGGGAGATTTAGTGAGAGAGAAAAAGTTTATTCTTATAGTCTGAAATAGTTTTGTTCCATAAAGTCCATACAAACATTGAATTATTGAGTATTGAACAAGTGTCCTTAGGGAAAAGGGTTAAGTTCTTACAAACATCTGGTTGAATTTTTGACAATCTATAAATGTCATGGACATTACATGGGTTCTTCTGTTAACATTTCTTTCAAACTAGTGCTGAAAAACATATTCCTTTTTCTGTATAACATCTGCCAGGTTATTTTTTATTTTTTTTTGTCGGTCATGGGGCCTAAACTCTGGGTTTGGGTGCCATCCCTCAGCTCTTCAGCTCAAAGCAATCGCTCTACCACTTGAGCCACAGCAGCACTTCTGGCTTTTTCTGCTTATGTGATGCTGAGAAATCAAACCCAGAGCCTCATGCATGCAAGGCAAGCACTCTACCACTGAGCCACCTTCCCAGCCCTCTGCCAGGTTATTTAAAAAATTCTTTCCCAATCTCTGGATCTAAGGAGCCTAACTGCCTGTAAGCTCACCATTTTTCATTTTCTCTTACATAAGCCAACCAGATGAAAACACTTTACTGACACTGGGTATATGTCCTTATGTACCATGGATTTTTTGCCTCACAACAATGCTATCCATTATGCCTTAAAAGTATCAGCTGACATATCATGAATCTATCAAACTAGCTGCTTTTTCTTTTTTCTTTCTTTTTTTTTTTTGTGGGTTGTGGGGCCTGAACTCTGGGCCTGGGCAGTTCCTCAGCAATTCAGCTCAAGGATAGCCACAGTGCCACTTCCAGCTTTTTCTGCTTATGTGGTGCTGAGGAACCAAACCCAGGGCCTCCAGTATGCAAGGCAAGCACTCTACCACTGAGCAACCTACCCAGCTCCTGCTTTTTCATTTTTTTCCATAGCTTCAACAGGTACTTTTTTTGAGGTGTGATACTGGCTTTGTATTGGTGAATTTCTTCCTTTTTCTGATGCATTTTGCATTGTTAATTCAACCACACTAAAATCAAGCCTACTCGGGCTGATATCTAAAATGTGTTTTCTATGTAAGGCATGTCACAATATTCCTGAGCTTAGGAACACTAAGGTCTCTTTTCAGCATTATATCTGGAGGCTATTTTATTTTTGCTGGTTGTGGGGTCTGAACTCTGGGCCTGGGCGCTGTCCCTCAGCTCTTCAGCTCAAGCAAGGCTAGCGTTCTACCACTTGAACCACAGCACCACTTCTGGCTTTTTCTGTTTATGTGGTACTGAGGAATCAAACCCAGGGCCTCATGCATGCAAGGCAAGCACTCTACCACTGAGCCACCTTCCCAGCCCTGGAGGCTATTTTAAACAGTGAAAGTATCAACAAAATTTGATGAAAACAATAATAAAAACTAAAGGACATATCATAGTATGAAAGATACAATGAGACAACAGAACACTATCTTCGACTTTAGCTGGGAAGTGTGTGTGAACTGGACAACTCACATTTTTGGCTTCTGTCCCTACGTGTATTGCTTCTGAGCTTACAAATAAAACTACTACTGAGTAATGACTGTGAATTTTACCAGGTAAGAAAATTCACAAATTCAGAACTTTTAAGTACTAAGAGCTGACTATAAGGAGCAAGGCAATTTCTCTATATATGAATATAATTAAAATTATATATTAATTATATTAATAATTAATTATATGACTATAATTAACAATTATTTCTTATGTTTAATTATTAAATCCAATCAACAGAATGAGTTAAGTATTACAGAATCACCAGATTCTCAAAAACTCTCACATTTTCATCACGGACTCAAAATTAATTTTCATTTTAGAATTTGTAGCAATTATTACAATTTTTGATAGTTTTAAACATATTTTTTTGTGGATCTTTGCTTTTTTTTTTTTTTTATTGTCGGATGTAGGGCTTGAACTTTGGGCCTGGGTACTAACCCTCAGCTCTTCAGCTCAAGGTGAGGGCTCTACCATTTGAGCCTCAGCTCCACTTCCTGTTTTTTGGTGGTTTATTGGAGATAAGAGTCCCGTGGACTTTCCTTGCCAGGTATGGCTTTAAACCGATCTTCAGATTTCAGCCTGCTGAGTAGCTAGGATTATAGGCATGAGTCACAGGCGCCCCTTTCCACCGCTTTGTCTTAGAACAAAGGAAGGGGAGAAGGTCCATGCAACAGCAATACTCACAAGGCACTATGTTGGAAATTAACTTTACAACTTGGGGGGTAGGAAGAGAAGTAGGGGAGAGGAAAGCCAAGAAAAACAAGGAAGAGGGCAACATTGTTTGACAAGAAATGCATTCATTTCCTTACTTATGTGTCTATAATCCTTTACAATCTTTTCTGAAAAAGGTTCCCCCTAACCCTGCCTAGGCTAATAGTCTGAAATCCTTTTCCTATGTTTTCTTTGAAGTTTTATAATTTCATTTTTTTACTTAAACCTTGATCATTTTGAGTTTTTTTGCTACAAAGTAATGTTATGTAGTCCATGCTGGCCTCAAAACTCATAATTCCTCTGCCTCAACCTCCTGTGTGGTATGCAATATCACAACTGACTTGTTATTCCTTCATATGATATTAGGGTGAAGCTTTTGCCTATGAATGGCCAAATTGTTTTAGTAAAATTTGATGAAGACTTTCTACAATTGAATTATGAAAATCAACTGGAAGAAAATCAATTTGGTATATTTGTGTGGTTCCCAACTGAAATCTGTTTTATTCAATGCATCTATATGTCTTGATTACTGTAGTTATATTAGGATTCAGACAGTATTATAGTTCCATTTACTTTCTTTCCTATTTTTGATTGTTTTACCTATTCTAGTTTGCTTTCCTATATAAATATTATAATAGGCTTGTATGTTTGTAAAATATCATGGAGATTTTGATAGCTACAAAAATAAAGCTATAAACTTTTTGCCTATTCTGACCTCTTGACCTCTGCTTCCCAAATAGCAAGGATTACTGGCATGAATCATTTCACCCTGTTTCCTTGGCTTTTTAGACGGATAAATTTCCAATATTATGTTGAGTAAGTGGTGAAACAAAGGCGAGGCATGATATTGTGTTTCTAAGTCCTTTCTACCCTTGGGTACTGAAGCAAGAGAATTGCTTAAGCCCAGGAATTCAAAACTGAAGAATCTTGTCTCAAACAAAAATGAGAATATTCATTAATACATTTTAGGGTATAATTCATGCTTTGCAGCACTCAATTTGCTTATATTTGTCAGGACTTCTGCATCAACAATCATAATTGATATTGGCCTGTGACTTTTCTTCTTTTTTATTTGTTTGGCTTAGGAACAAGTTTAATACTGACTGACCCTGTCATAAAATGATTTTGTATACCTCAACTTCCTGGAAGAAAATGTATACAAATTATATTCTTTAAAATGTTTAGAATTCTCCAGTGAGGCTAATCTGAACAACCATATCTAAAAATGTGAAATGCTCTAAAATCCTAAGCTGTCTAAGCATGATGACAATACTTTAACAAAATATCACAGATTTTTTTTGCTTTTGTTTTCTTCATCTTGGGAGCTTGAACTAAGAGCCTGGGCACTGTCCTGGAGGTTTCTCTGCTCAAGGCTAGCACTGTACCACTGAGCTACACCTTCCACTTTTGTCTTTTTATGATGCTTAATTGGAGATTTGAGTCTCATGGATTTGCCTTGCTTATGCTGACTTCACATCAAGATTCTCAGATCTCAGTCTTCTGAGTAGCTAGGATTACAGGTAAAAGCACCTGGTTGATATCAGGGTATTTTGAATTTCAGATTTGCAGTGAGTGATGCTCGGCTTGTATTACCAAGTTCAGGAAATTCCATTCCTTTATTCAAGTTTACCATGAAAGGGTTTGGATTTATCAAATATTCCTTTTATACTTATATTTTTATGATTATTTGATTTTTGTATAATAGATGAACTGATTTTCCAATGGTGAGCCAGCCTTACTCACATACCTGGGATAAATTCAACTAAATAGTTTGAAATTTTTTGTGTATTACTAGTTTGCTAATGTTTTGTGGATGCTCTATATTCCTGATAATGTCAGTCTATAGATTTCTTGTAGTATTTTTCTTGTTTTCTAAAATTAGGGTAAATATTACCTATTGCATATGGCAACATTCTCTTTTATCTTCTGAAAGACATTATCAGAGAACCCTGCATTCATCAGTGAACACAGCTAGGCCTGGAGCTTTCCACTGAAAAAGATTGCTTGTTTTATTTCTTTAACAACAGAAACAGGTTTATTCATATCACCTATTTCTTCTTGTGTGTTTTAGCAGACTGTAGATTTAAGGAATTGGAACATTCCATCTAGGATATAATAATCTGTGGGCACAGAGTTGTTCATAGCATTCTTTAAGCTTTTAATGTACTTGAGATATACAATGATGCTATTTCTTTCATCTCTAATATTAGTAATTTGTCTTTTTTTAAAGGTTTAAAAATGTTATCCATCTTCACAAAAAAAACCTGATAGTTTTTTTTCCTTCTAATTTCATTGAATTCTTTTCGAACTATTTTTTCTTCTGCTTGATCACTATAAATATCATTTGCAACTTCTATATTTATTTTGAATTTTTGGTGGAGTCTGATTCCAGGTCCTGGATTGTGAGCCAAACCCCTAGGTTCTTTATTTTATCTTTTGCCAGTCCTGGGGCTTGTGAACTCAAGGCTTGCTCTGTTCCTGAGCTTCTTTTGCTCAAGGCTAGCACTCTACCATTCAATATGAGCTTTGCACTTGCTAAGCTGACACTTTACCACTTGAATCATACCCCTAAATCCAGAGCTTACATTTTTGTCCAGGGCCAGACTCAAGACTGTAGTTCTCATGTTTCTCAGGTAGCTGGGATGATAGTTGGGTACACCATATCTGGCTTACTTGTTGAGATGGGGCCTAAATAGCTTTAGATCCAGGCTTGATCCTTCATCTCTGCTTCTCAAGCAGGTATGACTGCAGCTATGATTACAGGAATGAGGCACCATGCTCCTCCTGGACTTTTCTTTTGAAAAGTATCCTTAAATGCTATAAATTTCATTCTAGGTATGAAATCCCTAAAATCTTCTTATGTTTTCATGCTTGACATTTCTCTTGAGATTTCTTCTTTGACATGTGTTACTTAGAAATATTTTTGCCTAATCTTCTAGTATTTGGGGATTTTTCCAGATGTTATTGCTCTTAGTCCACTGTGGTCTAAGAACAAGTATTTTAAGAGGTGTCTCACATATTCACAAGTTTCTTTGGAGTTTTAGAAGAACGTGTATTAAGCTATTGTTGGAGTAGTCTACACATGTGTATTATGTCCAGCTGATTTATGGTGGAGTAGAATTCTATTATGCTCCTATACATTTTTCTTTCAGCTGAACATACTCATTTTTAATAAAGGAATATTGACATTTCCATAATAGTAGATTTGTTTAGTTTTCTTTATTTATGTCTAAGACCAGGACTCAAACTCAATACCTGATGCTTTTATTATTCGTTATTGCTCTACCAATTGAGCCACACATTCCTCAAACCTCTTGGTTTATTTCTCCTTGCAGCTTTATCAGTTTTGCCTAAGCTTTTGATTATTCTATTGTTCAGTTCTAAATATTCTATTTAGTTATTAGCATTACATTTCTTTGATAAAATTTTCTATTTTTAAAAAATTTGTTTCAAGATTATAATAGCTTGTTCAAACATTCTTAAAAAGCCTTGTGAGGTAATCCAAACATTTGTATCATCTCAGCACTGGCAAGTATTAAACATCTTTTCTCAGTCCAAGTTTAGATTTTCCTGGTTGTTGGTAATAGAAACAATTTTTTATTTTGTCTTGGAAATTTTTGGGTATTGTTAAAATCATGCTGGCAGGAAAAACTGCTGGCAGTGAAAGGGGAGCAGTAACACTCTATCATCAAGTAGTGTTAAAGTCCTTGCTCTCCACAGGACCTCCTCTGACACCCTGAGGGTATTCTGTTGCCAATGAAAACAAGGAATTACCAGAGTCCTACTCAGTCTTCACTGACTTTGTGAAGAGAATGGATACCTTGTAATTGCTGGGTGAGGCAGAAATCCAGGCTCTGCATTTTGTTTTCAAGGACTATCCATCCCACTGGGCACTGGTAGTTCAACCCGTAATCCTAGCTACTCAGGAGGCTGAGCTCTAAGGATCATGGTTCAAAGTCAGCCCAGGCAGGAGATAAGCTTATCTCCAATTAACCACCAGAAAACTGGAAGTGGTGGTATAGCTCAAGTGGTAGAGCGCTTGCTTTGAGCAGGCCCAGAGTTCAAGCCCCACAACTGACAAAACAAACAAACAAACAAAAAACCCTATCCATCCTAAAGGGACACTCATTACCAGAGAGGAGGAGTGAAAATCTACTGACACTATAGGGTAGTGGATGGTAGAAATAAGAACTAGTTGCTGAAAATTAAAAAAAAAAAAAAGAACTAGTTGCTGCTCTATTATGGAAGTCCAAGCTAGTACTTGGTTTCTTCTGCCACCCCATTTATGGGCAGGGAGGAGAGACATAAGTCTCAGTCCTCCACTTAACATTGCTGACACAAGATGCAGTGCCCCTCTATCCCTGGCGTATTTTTCAGGAGCAGTATGTTTAATTTTAAGCAGGTATCTACTCCTCTTATTGTCCCCTTTTTATACTCTATAGCAAAAAATTGCATTTTTTTTCAGGCTTTTAACTTTGTGTGCGGGGAAGTCTGTACCAGTTACTTTTAAGTTGTAGGGATCAGTCTGAGATATATAGGAAACAAAAAAAAAAATCCAGGAAACATTGTTCTATCATTCCCTGATTATGAAGTTCCTTGTTTTTACCTTTAAAAATCTTACATTGTTTTTACATGTTATGTGTGGGGTTTTTATGGTACTTACTGAGATGGACCAGAGACAAATGTCTATTCCATTTTGTGTAGAAGCAGAAGTACATGTGTACTTAAGGAATTAAGAGACCTGACTTAACCCAATTTCATATGCAGTCAAAGAACAGATGAACATAGATTAACAATCAGAGAAACTCAGGAGTTATTTTTAAAATCTCATTTATCATAGCAATTTTACCTTTCTCAGTTGTCCTCCTGATCTTTGGAATAGTGAATTTCTTCAAAGGACTGACTTCTATACCTCTAGTTGATAAAGGTTTACTGGTTGAACTCATTTTCCATAATGTCTTGGGCTTAGCAAATTTTTTCATTTCCATTTTGTTGGTGGCCTATAATCAACCCAAAATTATTAAATAATAAATATTTAAAGAGCACAGTTGTTAAAACATGTAAAAATTCTTCAATGGAATTGAATAATATATTCTTAGTGACAATGTCAACATGTTTCAATTTCAATTTTCCAGGTTACCCCAAATAGAAATTAGGTTTTATGTATTAAATTTTAGTTTACAACAGACTTTTTCCTTATGATTTATATAATTGTGATTAGGTAATTAAAAACTTTGCTCTTGAAAAGCTTAAAAATATCCAGATAAAGTAATTTTCATAAACATGTGGTAAAATTTCTGCCAAGTATTCTATTCTTTAAAAGTACTTAACAATTCAACTGCTATCAGATATTCTCATTACTTCAATATAACTGACTATAAGATAAATTTATGGAAGTTGTAAGTTAATTACATGACTATTCCTATAGTTAGAAATGTGATAAGCTCTATAATATCCTTCCACAAAAGTTTAAGATGATACCATGTATTATTATACTAGTAGTAACAAAGGTATTTCTCCTCTTTCTCGCTTCTCCAATCCTCATCACCCCTGACCCTAACATTTTTTAACCTCTCAAGAACTGAAACTGATACTGAAGGGAAGCTATGGAGCTCACACAAGACAATATTTTTTTTGGGGGGGGGGTTTGGTCGTGGGGCCTGAACTCTGGGCCTGGGCACTGTCCCTCAGCTCTTCAGCTCAAGGCTAGCGCTCTACCACTTGAGCCACAGCACCACTTCTGGCTTTTTTCCTTTTTGCTTATGTGGTGCTGAGGAATCGAACCCAGGGCCTCAGGCATGCAAGGCAAGCGCTCTACCACTAAGCCACCTTCCCAGCCCCAAGACAGTATTTTTTATCTTTTATGCCATATCATAACATGTCCCATGAGCTTCCTGTTACCAATCAACTACTTGCTCTAAACATTAGAACACAATGAAAATTAATAGATGACAAAATCCTTATAGAAGAATCACAAAGGAAAACAATCTATATAAGGTTCAAAGAATTATCTCCCAATCCTCATTCTTCCTGTGCCCTTCTGAAAGGGGATTGTGCAATCCTCCAATTAATTACGAATGAGAGTATACAGTAAAGAATGGATGGAGACCTATAGAAAGAAGAAAACTAGCCCTTTCATTGACAAATACTAGTGGTATGCTGTGTAAATAAAGTTGCCTTCTAACAAGAATACCAGAAACTAAAGGTAGAGACATTGGTAAGGACTGCTGTGTTCACCTGACATCTTATTAAGGAGAAAACTAATTTATTCATAAATTAATAAATTATAAATAATGCAAATATCCCCTGAATTAGCTATGATTTTTGTTAACAGCATACTGTGGTATTTGTTCTACTTCTTTAAAATAAAACTTATTATTTATGTTCATATTTGTACCTTTATTATTCATGCTTTCTAGCCCCTCATTCATGTACTTCCTATTTAAAAATACAAACATCTGTTGGGTGCTAGTCGGCTCCAGCCTATAACCCTAGCTATTTAGGAAATTGAGATCTGAGGTTTGTGTTTTGAAGCCAGCCCAGACAGACAAATCTGAGAGACTCGTTGCCAATTAGCCAGTAAAAGGTCAGAAGTGGCTCAAGGGGCTCAGCCTTGAGTGAAAAAGTAAGAGTAAGAGGCCCTGATTTCAATCTCCTGTACTAGCACCAAAAATAACTTAATTAATAAGAATTCTAACATCTCATTATTTTATCAGGTCTAATCAGTGGCACTGACATTTCAAAGCTTATCACTATTTTCATATACAGTTGTTTTTGGCTTTTTTTAAACTTTATTTATTTATTTTGGGGGGAGGGGATGATGGACACAGGTCCTGGCACTGTCCCTGAGCTTTTGTGTTCAAGGCTAGTGCTCTACCACTTGAGTCACAAGTCCATTTATGGCCTTATGGTGGTTAATTGGAGATAAGAATCTCACAGATTTTCATGCCTGGGTCAACTACAATCCTCAGATCTCAGCCTCCTGAGTTACTACAATTACAGGTGTGAACCACTGATACCCAGTTTTTTTCCCATCTTAATCTCATTATTTCCTTAAAAATACTTGGTATCTAGAATTCGAAAATCTTGTGTTTAATCTGATTCTCTCTTGTTGAGTTATCTTATAATTGATTATAATACATACATTTATACATGTGTATCTCTCCCCTCCCCATATTTCCCTAAGATCATATTCCTTGGATCCTGGTATAGGTACAAATACATAACTAGAACAATGGACTGGAATAAAGACCCCCAAATGAGCCCTCACTTATGCATGTAATAAAATGATATTTCTCAAGGATGTCATGGTTACTTAGAAGTCACTTCTCCAATGGGAAAACAGTCTTTGCAACAAGTAGTACCTAAATAAATTAGCTATCCACATGTAAAAGAATGAAGCTGGACCTTTAAACTATGTGTAAAATTAACTCAAAGTGGATCAAAGATCTAAACATAAGAAAATGTAAAACTGCTACAAGAAAGCCTAAGGGTGTTTGGAGTTAGGTCATTTAAGGAGGCAGTAGGTCTTGGGAGGTGGTGCCATCATGAATGGGATTAGTGCCCTTATATAAAGACCCCAAAGACCTATCTTTGTAAGAACAGAGCAACAAGACAATTGTCTACAAACTGAACCAGAAAGCAATCTCTTAAAGATACTGAATCTGTCAGCAGCCTGATCTTAGATTTCCCAGACTCCAGAACTATGAGAAATAATTTGTTTTTTATGAATTACCCAATTTATGGTATTTTGTCAGTAGCCCAAATGCACTGGTAGGCTTTTTAGAAGGTTTTCTATAAGTAGAATTGCACTGATATTTAGTCAGCAAGGTCACAATCAAAACAATTCTGATGAATATAAGGACAAGAGCTCATATAAAATTTATTTCCATACTTATGTCTATATATATGTGTATGGTCCGGGCAAATATAGAACCTTGTACAAAAAATGTTTGTCAATATATATCTGTCAACTTGGTGACCGGGTAGGAGTTTGAAGAAAAGTTAAACCAAACACTGTTTTTCATTGACTGTAAGCTTGAAGAGCCTGAGGATGTTCCTGAACTATCAGTATTCCACACTGTTGAACAATTCAGTCAAGAGCCTCTAGCTGAACCTCAGATTACTTTTTCTTACTGACTTCAGATTCCACATCTATAGATCCATTATTAGAGGACATTCTAATCTATGTAAATGTGTAGTTTATCCAATGATTTACATGTCAATATTTTGTGTGTATATAATAAATTTCAGTTACATTGTAGTGAACTCATGAGATTCTGTACTTTATTTTCTTTATGCCCAATTTGGGATTTGACTGTAGGTGGCTTAAAATTGGGAAAGGACATTTTTGGTGCCTAAATGTAGGATAATAATGACCACAGAGCTGCCTTTTTCTTCCTCTCAGTCTTATATATAGTAAAAGTTATTATTTTTTAAATACTCACCAATTTGCTATTTAATAGAAAATTGGAAACTGGGTGTCAGTGGTTTGTGTCTATAATCCTACCAGTATAAGGAGTCAGAGATCAAAGAATCATAGTTCAAAGCCAGCCAGAGTAGAAAAGCCCTTGAGTCTATACCTCTAAAATAACAAGCAAAACACCAAGCTCAAGCAGTTAGCAGGGTTGAGTGAAACCAAGAGTACTGAGGCCATGAGTTCAAGCCATGGCATGCACACAAAAAATGGAGACTATCTTTACCTGACTTATGTAACTTTAACCCCTCTGTACTAACCCCTCTGTACATCGCGTTTATAATAAAAAATTAAAAAAATTTAAAAAGAAAAATGGAGAATAGCAAAGTTTGTATAATAATAGCCATTTACACTTTCAATTATACTTAAAATGGCTGTTAAGACTTACATCAGATCATTTTTCTTTCTAATTTTCCTTTTTATTGTTGGTTGTGGGGCTTGAACTCTGGGTCTGGGCACTGTCCCTGTGTTCTTCAGTTCAAGGTGAGCCCTCTACTACTTGAGCCACAGCTCCACTTCTGCTAGTGGTTTATTGGAGATAAGAGATCCACGGACTTTCCTGCCTGGCTGGCTTTGAACCGTGATCTTCAGATCTCAGTCTCCTGGGTAACTAGGATTACAGGTGTGAGCCACCAGCGCCCAGCATCTCATTTTCTCATTTACAGTGCCACCATCAAATCTCAGAGTTTTTTTTGTTTTTTTTTTTGTCGGTCATGGGGCTTGAACTCTGGGCCTGGGCGCTGTCCCTCAGCTCTTCAGCTCAAGGCGAGCGCTCTACCACTTGAGCTACAGCACCACTTCCGGTTTTCTGGTGGTTTATTGGAGATAGGAGTCTCACGGTCTCTCCTGCCCGGGCTGGCTTTGAACCGCGATCCTCAGATCTCAGCCTCCTGAGTAGCTAGGATTACAGGCGTGAGCCACCAGCGCCCGGCCTCAGAGTTTTTGATTTTAGAGAATTCCTGCCCTATGTGGGGACTACCAAATCCTTCTGGAGAAGATAAGCCAATATTAAAGTTCAGTTAGTCCTATTTCTGTGGAGATCATCACTGTGCTTCAGAGACAATAGCTTGTGACAACTACAAAGCAATTCCAGTAGTTATTTGAACTCATTACCAGAAAATAATGTGTATTTGTAATGTCAATACAAAACCTATGAACATGACTATATACTGTTGATTCTTATTTTATAGCACAACCTGTATGGCTTCTTAAAATCAATAACCACATTGGATGCAAAATAAATTTCTGTTTTTCTAGTTTATAGTATAACAGCCCAGATGAATTAAGATACTACCCAATAGAAATTTACTTCAAGGATAAATGTTTGCATATTTTAATTATGCTAATGTATAATATATTCTCTTCATGTATCTTCTTTTACAGTCATATTAATCAACTTTAAAATAAAATCATTTCCAAAATGTAGATTGAAAAAAATCACATTATAGTAGGAAAGCCATTATTTAAATACTTACCATTCTTCAATTGCATTGAGGATCATACAATTATGATCAGGATTCAGTCCATACATGAAAAATGATAAAGGAATATCTATTTAAAATGAAAAAAGAAACAAAATTATAGCAAACATTTCTCCCAGCATTGTGTCTTTATTTTTTTTGGGGGGGGGGAAGGGGACAGTAATGAGGCTTGAACACAAAGCCTCACTCAACTTTTTTCACTCACTGCTGACATTCTAGCACTTGACCACACATCTCTACTTCTGGCTTTCTGTTTAACTGGAGATAAGAATCTCTTGAATTTGTCTGCCTGGGCTGACTTCAAACAATGTTTCTCAGATCTCAGCCTCCTAAGTAGCTAGAATTATAGATATGACTTCCTAGCTTCCAGCTCAGAATTATGTATTTATTGTCTTCTGTATTCAATTTTTCCCCTCCTGATTTTTTTCCCTCCCTCTCTTTTATTCTTATGTTTCTTTTGGGGAAAAGGAGGAATCTGTTTTCTCCAAGTCTCAATTTCTTTTCTCTCATACCCATTTTTTTTTCATGTTTTTCATTTTCTCTTTCCTTTAGTACATTCTCATCTGCTATTCAGTTTCACTGTGAGCTCACCCATCTTATTCAAACTCTAATGGAGAAAATGATTTTATGACATTACATACTTAAAAATAAACAGACATTTGTTCCAACATTTTAATTAATCATTGTAAACAGTTATGATAAATGCTATGTACAGTGGCTTATTTTAGGATCAAAGGTTGGTATTATTGTTCTTATTTTCAAATGAGAAACAGAGTTAGAAAGTTTTAAGAAACTTTCCTAAGCTTACTCAACTGGTAAATTTTCAAACCAAGGCTTAGTGCAGTGGATTTTACACCACTGCACAATTCTAATTCAAGAGTCATGTAAATCTTAAATCTGAATGTATAGAAACAATGAAGAATCATAAGTAGCTCAAATCTTTTTTTTTTTTTTTTGGCATTACTAGGTATTGGACCCACGGCCTCAAGCTCTTTAGGTTGTGTTTTTGAAACAGGTCTTGCTCTACTTTGCCCATGCTGGTCCTGAATTCCTGATCTTATTGCTTCTATCTCCCTAGTAGCTGGCATTAAGTGTTCACTCAAATCTTATCATGATGCTAGACAATTTTAATGTATGCCTTGATGCTCAGATTGTGTTATTTGAATATATGGTAAAATACATGGGGGGCATTAATTCATATATTAGAGCAATACATACTTCAAGAAGGTATTTTTATTAAAAAGTGAAACATCCAGAAAAATTTGAAAATTACTCAAAATTATACATTTCTTTTCTTTTCTGCAAGTTAGCTCTTCAAGAAAACCAAAAGGTATTATAAGTGAGTTTTTGAAAGGTAAACAGCTAATACAGAAGAAAAACATCTAATAGAGAAACAGCATTATGACATAGCAGATCAACTTCCTCTAGTATTTTTACATACTGTATAGTCAATATATAAACAAAAGTATGGATGATTTATTATTTTGTCTGTTTTATTCAAGTGCAGTACAGAATATGAAATACTTAGCATCACATGGCAAGTGTAGTCATGTGATACTAAGAAAATAGCAGGTAAAATTAGATGCCAATCTGGCTGCTAGTGGCTTGTGCCTGTAATCCGAGCTATTCAGGAGGCTAAGAACTGAGGTTCAAAGCCAGCTCAGGCTAACAAATCCAAGAGACTCTTTTCTCCAATTAACCAGCAAAAGTTCAGAAGCAGAGGTGTGGCTCAAATGATGAATCATCAATTATTAAGTGAAAAGGTCAAGGAAAAACGTGAGTCATTTAGTTCAAGCCCCAGCAATAAATATCCAAATACTTTTGTAACTTCAAATTCTTAATTTAGTACATTAAAAATCTGAAGTAAATTTGTAAGTAAATCAAGGTTGGCATAGGCTATCAAACAAGCCCCTAAAACGTAAATACTTATTTTTCTCTACTAGAAGCTATTTAGTGGAGTAACTATGAATTAAATCTGCAGGAGATTTAGTATGCACAGGGATGGTTAAAAAGTTTTTGTTAAATTTTGATGTATTCTCTACTGATTCATTTTTCCTCATTAAAACACTCATTTAATGAGGAAAGCAATGACCTAAGGAAAAAAAACTTTTCACTTCTTTTTTTTTTGGTCAGTCGTGGGGCTTGAACTCTGGGCCTGGGCACTGTTCTTCAGCTCTTCAGCTCAAGGCAAGCACTCTACCACTTGAGCCACTGTGCCACTTGTATTTCTTTTTTTTGTGTGTGTGTGGTTTATTGGAGATAAAGAGTTTGACGGCTTTTCCTGCCTGGGCTGGCTTTGAACCTCGATCCTCAGATCTCAGCCTCCTGAGTGAGTAGCTAGGACTACAGGCATGAGCCACCGGCACCTGGCCCTTTCACTTCTTTTATTTTTCCTATTTATGTGATACTGAGGAATCGAACCCAGGGCTTCATGCATACCAGGCAAGCACTCTACCACTAAGCCATATTCCCAGCCCATTATTTGGAGTTTTTCTTTTCTTTTTTCTTTTGTCAGTCATGGGGGCTGAACCCTGGGCCTGGGTGCTGTCCCTCAGCTCTTTAGCTCAAGGCTACTGCCCTACCACTTGAACCACAGCACCACTTCCGGTGTTTTTCTACTTATGTGGTACTGAGGAATTGAGTCCAGGGCCTCATGCATGCAAGGCAAGCACTCTACCTACCACTGAGCCAACTTCCCAGCCCCCCTTTCACTTATTTTAAACCCATTTCAGGAGACAGCTAATGACTTGTCAAGTAATAATTCAAGAAACAAAGTGTCCACAAAAAATATGCTTTAGATGTATGAAAAAAACAAAAGATGTATCAGTTCCCCAGGACTATACAGCAAGACTGAACTGAGAGAAACAATATCAACTTAAGCAAAGTTTTAAGTTTGTTTGAACAGATGCAAAGAAATAATCACTGAAAGAATAAAGTGAAAAATCCATTCCACACAAGTTCAACAATGTAGATGAATATTTGAACACTAAACTATCTTTTAAAGCAGTCTGTTTAAGAGAAGTAACTCACAGGTATCTCTGGGGTGCAGGGAAAAAATGCTGATCTATTTGGTGAGTGTACTATATTAAGTATATATTACACTTACAGTCACTGGCTCTACAAGCAGTGAGATCTTACAGAAACATTAATGAAATGACCCGTTTTACTGGTTTAGGGAACTAAAAGGCAGCAGTAGTTCTCAAATTGTGTACACCAGATCAGCAGCATCAGTATCACCTGGGAACTTGCTAGAACTACAAACAAAGTCTTCAACCTAGAACTACCTAGGTGTTCTAAGCCCAGTAATCTGTGGTCTGACAAGTTGTCTAGGCTGATACAGGTTGAGATCCACTTATCTAAATTATGAGAAAAACATCCACTCAGCTAATAACATTTTCTTCCATTTTTTAGAATTAGTAATCCTCTGAACCAATGTCAATCACTATGATTGGAACAGAACTTAGAAAGTAGAAAAACCTCCCATGCTCCTGGATTAGAAGGATCAACACCGTGAAAATGAAAATACTTCCCAAGGCTATCTACAAATTCAATGCCATATCTATCAATATTCCAACCTCATTCTTCAAGGAAATAGAAGAGGAAATCCAAAAATTCATATGGAACAATAAAAGACCCCGAATAGCAAAAATGATCCTTAACAGAAAGAATAGTGCTGGAGGAATATCAATACTAAATTTCAAACTCTACTACAAAGCCATAATAATCAAAACAGCTTAGTACTGGCACAAGAACAGACCTCAGGACCAATGGAATAGAACTGAAAACCCAGAAATGAATCCACAGACCTATAGCCATCTAATATTTGATAAGGGAGCTAAAAAAATAGAATGGAAGACAGCCAGCCTCTTCAGTAAATGGTGTTGACAAAATTGATTAATCACTTGTAGAAAACTAAAGCTAGATCCTTATATATCACCCTGCACCAGAATTAGCTCCAAATGGATCAAAGACCTTGGAGTCAAAGCAGACACTCTGAAAACATTACAGGATGGAATAGGAGAAACCCTAGGTCTCCTTGGCATAGGCCGAAATTTTCTTGATAGAGACCCAGAAACATAACAAATCAAAGAAAGGTTGGACAAATGGGACTGCATGAAATTGCAGAGCTTCTGCATGGCAAAGGACATAGCTAGCAAGATCAATAGGAAGCCCACAGATTGGGAGAAGATCTTCACTAGCCATACAATGGATAAGGGTCTCATATCTAAAATATACTTGGAACTCAAAAAATCCTCCAACAACAAATCCTCAAAGAAACAATTGCCCAATAAATAAGTGGGCTAAAGACTTAAGAGAGAAACTTCTCTGAAGAGGAAAGAAGAATAGCCAATAGACACATAAAGAAATGCTCAACCTCCCTAGCCATAAAAGAAATGCAAATCAAAACAACATTGAGATGCCACCTTACCCCTGTTAGAATGGCTATAATCAAGAACTCTAATAACAACAGATGCTGGAGGGGGATGTGGCCAGAAGGGAACTCTACTGCATTGTTGGGAGTGTAAACTTGTTCAACCACTTTGGAAAGTAATATGGAGGTTCCTCAAAAGACTCCACATAGAGCTCCTCTATGACCTAGCAATCCCACTTTTGGGCATTTACCCAAATGATCACAAACAAGACCATACGAAAGCTACCAGCACAACTATGTTTATTGCAGCATTATTTACCATAGCTAAGATATGGAACCAACCCAGATGCCCCTCAGTAGATGAATGGGTCAAGAAAATGTGGTATATATACACAATGGAATTCTATGCCTCCATCAGAAAGAATGACATTGCCCCATTTGTTAGGAAATGGAAAGACTTGGAACAAATTATATTAAGTGAAGTAAGCCAGGCCCAAAGAAACATACATCCCATGGTTTCCCTTATTTGCAATAACTAGTATATGTCTGAGACAAGCAGAAATGGTCAGATAAGTTGATGTTAGGGGAAATGAATCCCAAGATAAGGACTCAAATGTTTTTTCTTTCTTCCTATTGTTTCTAACATATATTTCTTTGTTGCTTTGTATGTCTCTCTCCCACAGTATAACCCCTGTTTTC